GGCTTGAAAAACACACCAGGCATGTGTGTACGTGTGCCCTGAATCTTACAGGATGAAAAGATGGAGAAAAAACTATTGCAGCATGACCACGTCCCATTGGAAGGTTCTCTTTCTCTCTTTTATGGGCACTCATACCCTCTGGCAATAATAAAAAAAAAAAGTTAAAATGGTACATTTGTGTTACGCATATTGCTACAACAATAAAAAAAGAAAACTGTGGTACTGCTGCATAAATAAAAAAAAGCAATGAAACAGAATAGCAAACCTAACGACAGGGCCAGCTGCTGCAGTGGTAAGGCCAGCAGCCATATGGAAGATTCTGGGTTTGGATCCTGGACTTCCCTGTGCATGCCAGGGGCACATGCCTGTCTGGGACCAGGGCCAGTTAAGGGAGGTGGGGGCTGGCAGGTGGCGTGGTGGTTAAGGGCGCTGGACTCCCACATGGTCAACTGTGGTTTGAGTCCTGGACTGGACCTGGTGGCTTACTTTCTCGCTTTTGCTTTCTCTCTCTCTGGTCAAATTAAGAATAACGATAATAAATAGAATTGAATAAATAATTCTTTAAAAAAAAATACTAGTGGCGGGGGCCAGCAGGTGGTGTGTGGTTGAGGTACTGAACTCCCGCATGGCCAACTGTGGTTCGAATCCTGGACCTGGTGGCTTTCTTTCTCTGTCTCTCTGTCTCTCTCTGGTTGAGTGTACATGTCCTCAAGGAAGTTAAGAAAAAAAAAAAAGACTGGGGGGGGAGGGGGTAGCCGGGGGGGGGCAGCGTGGTCCCATACGGCTGACACAGAACACAGGCCCTCATCTAGGCAGCAAAACTACCTTCTCCAATGCTGGGAGGCAGAACCAGTGCCACTGATAGGACCAGTGAGAGCCGGGCGTGGCTTCTCCTCCTCGGAGATGGATATCGGATATCGCTGCCCTGAGTGTGTAACCTGAATCTAAGGAAGAAGTTTCAGATAAGCCCAAATCAAGGGACTTTCTACAAAGTCACAGACCCTATTCTCTTCAAAACGTGCAAGCTGAAAACGACAAAGAAGCACTGATGAAGGTTGACCCAGCTTAAAGAAAGTGAAAAGATACAATGGCCGATTGGTCCTGGGTTGGATCCTGGACCTGAGGAAAGTTTTTGCTAGAGGGGACAAGTAGGATAACTGGGGACATAAGAATAAAGTCCGGGGGTTGGACAACAGTGTTCTAGCTATGTTAATTTCCCCGTTTCGACATGCACATTGTGGTTATGTAAGAGAATATCCTTGACTTTAAGAAATACAGGGGCCAGCAGGTGGTGGGGTGGTTAAGGAGCTGGAAACTCCCACATGGCTGACCACAGTTTGAGTCCCAGACCTGGTGGCTTGCTTTTTCACTTTCCCTTTCTCTTTCTGTCTCTCTCTCTGGTCAAATTAAAAGAAAAGAATAAACAAATAAAATAATGAAAATAAAAAGAAATTCATACTGCCTGCTATTTAGGGTAAAGAAACACAATTTCTCTAATTTATTGTCCAGTGACTCAAAAATTTACATTCAGAGAAAAAGAGAGAGAGGAGGAGGAGGGAGAATCTCGGTGAAGGTATACTGGGGTTATTGGTACTTTGGGGGGCAACCTTTTCGTAAATTTGAAATTATTTCAAAATTTAAAGTTATAAAAAAGAAAAGTCTCAGAACTAAAAATTCCACACAAGTGCTACACAGTGGGCCAGAGTTCCTCCCTGGTCTTTCTCTGGATTTGGGGACCCAGTGACAAGTTGGCCTTGTCTGGGCAGGCACTTCTCCAGGCCTCCAGGGAGGGGGGACAATTTTTCCGCTCCTACAGTGGCATCCTCCTACTGGGTGGAAAGGGGCGGGAGATAAAATTCTAACGTAAGGGGCACCATGGACGGCTGGGGGACAGAGTGCGCCAGTCTCCAGCTGCCCATCCCGGGAAGGCTCTGAGCGCTCAGGGAGGGGGCTCCGCAGAGGAGCCGGCCCTGGACCTGAGCACTGGGCTGCCGGCCGTGGTAGGAGAGGGCACACCGGGCTGCTGCCAGGAGCCATGGGTGAGGCGGGCTGGTGAGGGACGCGAGCTGGGCAGGGCCGGGGCTGTCTTCCCAGCGCGGGATCTGGGAGCCAGCGCACGCAAGTTGTGAGGTTGGGCACAACTGGGGGCCGGGCGGGTGGACCGAGCCGCAGACACGGAGCCCTGTGCCCAGGGCCAGCCACCTGGGGCCACCCGACCGCGCTGTCGGGCTACTCACGTAGTGCTGGCTGGGAAGGAAGCGCTTCTCGAAGCCCAGGAGGGCGATGTGGCGGATGAAGGCGTCCCCCATGGCTGAGCGGCAGCGCGGCTTCGACTTGTCCCCAGCGCTCTCGCTCCCCCGGGGTGGGCCTTAAATGCGCTGGAAAGAGGAAGTCGCTTCTGTCGCGGTCTAGAGGCAGGGTCAGGAGCAGGAGGCAACAGGGAGGGCACAGACAGAGCTTCGCTTCTTCTTTCTGTTTCTGGGGATTTCTTAGGCCCTGTGGTGTGGACGTGGGCGGTCAGGCACACACAGGTGCACAGGGACAGCTGCCCTTGTCCTGTGACCTACAAGGCCCCAAGGGGTTGGGGGGCATTTCCCATCCCTCTCTCCTCCTGGTTGGCGAGTCCAGCCCCACTGGCCTCTCTGCAGCCCTGGGACACACCCAGCTGCTCCCACTTCAGGGCCTTTGCTGGGCCCCATCCTCCCCACCTGTGATCCGCACCTCCTCCATCAAGGCCTTCCTGATATCTTCTGGATGAACAAACTTCATGCCTGCCCAATCTTTCCCGCTTTAGTCAGAGCACTTAACATCACCGATGCCTTCAATTTGTTATTTTTTTTAATTTTTTTTTTTTTTTGGAGAGATTTTTCACTGTAGGGCGCATGCGCTCGCCAGACAGACAGAGAGAGACATAGAGACAGAAAGCGAGAAATCACCCCCCAGGGGGGATGGTCACGCCGCAATCCCTTCTCCTCCATTCTCCTCTCGGGATCTTGGGCACGCACGCACACGCACCCGGCATGAGTTTTAAGCCACCGGGACCAGGAAACGAACCGCGGTCGACTACGTGGGAGTCCAGCGACATAGCCATTACGCTAACTGCTGGTTCCCAATTTGTTATTTTTATTATTATTACTATTTCATGTTTTAAAAAAAATTGCTCCAGGGTGCATGCGCTCACTGGAGAGAGAGAGAGAAACACACCCCTCCCCCCAACTCCCCAGGGGATGACCCGCTGCAATCCCTTCTCCTTCATTCTCTAGGGATTTTTTGGGGGGGAGAAGTTTTTTTTTGCTATAGGGCACGTGTACTCGCCAGACAGAGACAGAGAGAGAGAAAGCGAGAAATCACCCCCCAGAGCGGATGGCCATGCCGCAATCCCTTCTCCTCCATTCTCCTCTCAGGATCTTGGGCACGCACGCACACGCTCCCGGCGTGGGTTTTAAGCCACCAGGTCCAGGATACGAACTGCAGTCGACTATGTGGGAGTCCAGCAACATAGCCATTACGCTAACTGCTGGTCCTGGGATTTATTTTTTTAAGAGAGATTTTTTGCTATAGAGCATGTGCTCACTGGAGAGTCAGAGAGAGCCAGAGAGACAGAAAGTGAGAAATCACCCCCTGGGAGACCTGTCCACGCTGCAATCCCTTCTGCATTCTTCTCTCAGGCACCCATTCTTGTCTTGGGTACCCATGCACACACGCCCAGCATGAGCCTCGGTTGACTATGTGGGAGGCCAGCAACATAACATAACCATTATGCCATCTGCTGGTCCCCATTCTCTAGAGATTTTGAGCACACGCATGCCTAGCTTGTTTTTCACATTGCTGGGTCTGGACTTGAACCACATACCCAGCCATGTGGGATCCAGCTGCATTAACTATCATGCCACTGGCTACTAGCCAATCTTTTTTTTTTTTCACAGTGTCTCTCCTTTGTAGAGTGTGAGGACATAACAAGGTCTTGGTCTGTTTGGCGAGGACTCTCGCCCGGACCTGATGCTCGCTGCCTTGCACCGGTGGGCCCTCGTTCGCTGAGAGCATGAATGAACACCTCCATGGAGTGTGCGTGCACAACTTAGGTGCATGCCCCTGGGCATGTGACACCTCAGGTGCATGCCCCTGGGTGTGCGAGCGTGGCTAAGGGCCAGTGGCAGCCAGGACAGCACAACCTTTGAGCGAGACCTGTGTTTAAATCTTCACCAGTGAACCCACACCCAGTGGAACAGATCATCAGAGCGCGTCCAAGGCCAGCGGCTGACTGGTGTCCCTCCCTGCAGTCCGGCAGTGGCTCCTGCCTCCTAGGGCTGCCCTCCTGGCCCTGGCTGGGACCCAGGAGAAGAGGGCGGGGCCATCTTGTGACTCAAATCCAGAGATTCTAGGGCGGGAGGACGTGAAAAGGCAGCCGGCTCAGCTGGAGAGCACTCTGAGCCAGGGACAGCCCCTGCCCTGCACACTGTTGGGGGCGGGGCTTGGGGCCTGGTGGAGGGGGACCAAGGCATGCTGTTTTATACCCCCACGGGTCAAGGCCGCTGTCGGCCCTGGGTCTGTTATCTAAGAAGTGCAGGGCCCAGCCCTGCTCTGAATGACACACTCCCAAGGTGCTTTACCACATCGGGTAAGGGCATCACAGCCACCTCCTGCTCCCTGCTGGTCAGTGCTGTCCCCAACCCCCATCCGGAGGTCACCAGCCCAGGGTGTGACCAGGGCTGGGTGTGACCTTGCATGTCCTTCCTCCAGTCATTTCCATTTATGTATCTGGGAGCCTCCCACAGAAGGCAAGTTGGGTCCAAGGAGGAAACCAGATTCCATGGGACTGTCCTCAGCAGTGACAGGGACTGCCCCGCAGGACAACGTGGGGGGGGGCGGGGCGGGGCAGGCAGACACAAAGCACCGTCTGAGGATGCCATTCATGGATCTTAGAAACCACCAAGCGGTCTGTGGTGTGGGAGGCCAGAGTAGTCTCTGGGGCAGGCCGGGCGTGGGAGACGGTGGTGACAGGAGGGGAGGAGGGGGTACAGAAGGTGGCAGGCGATAGGTCCGTTTTTAGAAGGCTGTTAGTCGAAAGGGGAGGGGTCACTTTCTGCAAACTGTCAGATTTGTGCATGGCCTTCTGTGCATGGTCACCCAGCGACCGTCTCTCTTGCCCTTCGTCAGGAGGGCGGCCCTTGGCTCACTTGCTAGCCTTTCAGCTGTCTGCTCACTGTCCCTCCTGATGGACACTCAGCTCATCTTTGGTCTCCCCTGTCACAGACACAGATGGTGTGGCCTTGAAGGCCCCAGCACGGAGGTCAGACCCACAAGGTTGGTCACCTGTGAGGGGCAGCTGCGGAGGAAGGCCCCTGCAGGGCTTGCGGCAGGCAGAGTCCCCTTCTGACCCGGGGCACTTCCTTCCCTTCCTTCAGCAGTCTTTCCACTCTTGCATAACTGCCCTATAGGCCGCCCTGTCCCCGCAGCCACCAGGCCACAGCCCAGCAGCCCCTGAGCTTCCTGGCTGCTACCTTTCCACTCTCCTGTGGCTTCGAGACCTTGCTGTGTGCGCACTTGGCGCTCGGCGTGTCTGCTGGGTGAGCAGAGGCACGGCGTGCTAAGAACGTGACAGTGGGGCTCACAAGGGAGGGGCCAGCCCACATGAATGTCCTAAAGGAGGTTTGCACATCAGGTCAGACCTGAGGGGAGGCGGGGCTTCCTGGTCTGGCTCAAGAGAATGTTGGCCTTTATCTGGATGTTACCTTCTGCTCCCTCAGGCCACTTGGCCAACCCCAGGTGGCCTGGCCTGGCCATTTCCTTAACTAGGAAATCTCCAAAGCTGGGCTGATGGGGACTGTGTATGCCAAGGGCCGTGGTGCCAGGGCATGAGGGCAGCAGTGCCCCTCTGATCTTCTGTTAGGAGAGGGACTCTAGGGTTTCCCAGGATTGGAATACATCAGCCTTCCAATGGGACAGGTCTTCCCCAGGACCAAGCTAAACCCCTCCTGCTGCTGCTTGAGTAAGAGCCGAGATCCCCTTGTCGGCCGTGTGCAGTGACAGGCCTCTGGGGCTGCCACAGGACCAGCCTTTGCCCTCCCTGCTGCCTGTGGCAGTGGGCTGGGGCCCAAGCCTTTGCTGACCAGCAGGCAGACTGGGTTGCGCCGTGGTGACACTGGACCTAAGGCAGACAGGGGTTAATGCGGAAATGCAGGCCACTCCCGTGCTCTCCGCCTCCCCGGAGACCCAAGTCTTCCTTTCTTAGCAAACCAACTTCGGACAGGCTCCTCCTGGCTGGAGATACACCTTGGGACCACACCAGAGGGGGACCAGCTAGGTGTCTGCACTTGGGACCCACTCAGGATCCCTCTGAATCACACCCAGGAATCTCGTGTGCTCCACGGCAAGTTTACTCAGGGTCCTGGAGCTTTTTTTTTTTCCCCTTTTTCCCCTGTGAAATGACACTACTAACTGTACCTACTTCCTGGGCTGTTGTCAGGGATAAGTGGAGTCAATGCCAGGCTCAGTGACTGCCAGCCTTGGCTAGGTGTCACCTGAGCACAGGGCTGTCTCCGAGGTGCCATGCAGCACCAGGGTGTGGGAGGTGAATGATGCTGGGCCAGGTGTTGGCTTTGCTCTCTTAGAATGAGGTTGCACGCAAGAGGGCAGGCCTTCCAAGTTGCCAGGCTGTCCCGGGCTGACACTGCCAGCCAGCTCTGGGCTGTCGCAGCAGTCACTAGAGTGGCTGGGATAACACAGTGCAGCTGCCGCCAGGGCTGTGCGGGCGGGCTGGAGACCCTCTGGGGCAAAATGAGGCTGAGGACGCTGCTGGGCCGTGGGCTGCTGGGTGTGTCCCCACTCTATTGCAGCTCTTGCCACCACATGGGCCTTGCCAGAGAACGAGCACTCTCCACGTCAGCCCCGCCTTGTGCCAGGAGCCCAGGGCCTGGCCGTGCCTGCCTCAGCCCCACGGCCTCACGGACACCGGCTTCGCTCAGCAGGCCCAGCGCCTGACCAGGTGCATCCCTTGATTATCAACTGACAGTCAAGACTAAATCCAGCCTCAGCTACTGCCGCAGGCTGCGAGGCTTTATGTGAACTTGAAACCTTCAGTTCCAGTGATGACATCGCGCCCTGGAACAGTCACCAGGGCTGCTGGGCGTGGGCAGTGGTAAGTTATCTGGGATCGCCCAGGGACAGGTACCACTTCCAGGGGAGACCCTGGACAGCGTGGAGACACCGAGTCTGGCGTGGGAGTGGGGAGAGGTCCCCTTCAGGCAGGTGGGGCTTCACACAGGTGTGGAGTAGCTAACGTCAGGGCGTGCTGTTTTGCAGTGTCCCATCTAGCAGCAGGCACCAGCGCCGGCCATACTGCCTCTGGGACTGAGGCTCGTGATGTCAACATCTGCTATGGATTTGGGACCCTACCCGATGGTCCCTTGCTCTGACCTTGTCTTTTTCTCTTAAAATTTTTTGCTGTAGGATGCGTGTGTCCGTCAGAGACACACAGGGAGAGTGAGAAAGCACCCCTCAGCGGTAATGGCCACACCACAATCCTCCCCCTGGAATTTTGGGCATGCTCACACGCTCCCAGAGTTTTTTCACGTTGCCAGGTCCAGGACTCAAACCTTGGTCAACCATGTAAGAGTCCAATGCCTTAATCACTATACCACCTGCTAGCTCTCTTTTACTTACACCTGCACTTGTCATTTATCAACTTTTTCTTAGTGGATTGGGTCACCCTAACAAAGGACAACTTTAGTCTAATCACGGCATGAATCCATGAGTCCTTTCAGGGTTTACTGAGACCTCCTCATAGCCTGTGACCTTCGCCTTGATGCTTGGGGGAGGTGGGCCTTGTGTCCTTCGCTGCCCCACATTGGGGCTTCCGAAGTCTTCCCACCCTCACCAGGTCCTTGAAGGCACTGCCAAGGGCATGGTCTTTGATGTGGTCACAGCTGCTTGATCGTGCACAAACACTGGCAGCTCTAAAGGAGCAGTCTCCAGCCCAAGCAAGAAACTGGTGCCACAAAATGCTGGGCTCTTGCTTCGGAGGGCAACAGGCAGGAAACGTCTTTACAAATGGGTGTTGTATCACAGCTTGCTTTCAGTGCTAAACTTCCCTGACACTTCCTCGAAATAAAACCACAAGATTTCATATGGTGGAGGCTCACTATCATTCATACTGTGGCTGGGGAAAACCAGGCCCTGATCAACCCATGTTTGTTTTTAGTTTTCTGGGTGTGGAGGGCGCCCAGGACAGCCAGGCTTGGTCAGCAAACAGCTTATAGCAGGCCACCAGCTCTTGCAATCTGAGTCCTACGGCCCCCAGCCAACTGCCTCCACATCTGCCCTTGGAGCCAAGACTGGAAGCCACGCAGAAAGTTCAGAGAGCACCCCTCACGCAGAGGTAAATGAACCAGGATGGCAGGGACAGGACAAAAGCAATGCTTGGAGGAGGCCTAAGAGTGAACACCCATTTGTGATCGCCATGAACTCCCGGGTCTGAGAAGAACAGGGAAGAGTTCTGACACTAAAGCAAGTGGCCTTCAGGTTTTCTTCCTCATCATGGGGAAACAGGAATCCTTGGGAGAACATCTTTTTTTTTTTAAATATTTTTTTCTATAGGATCCATGCACATGCCAAAGAGGCAGAAAGTAAGAAATCACCCTTTCGGGGGGACGGCCATACCACAATCCCTTCTCTTCCAGTCTCCTCTCGGGAGCTTGGGCACGCACGCATGCCTGCACACACACATCCGGCGTGAGTTTTAAGCTGCTGGGTCCAGGACTCAAACTGTGGTTGACTATGTGGGAGTCCAACGTCACCATTATGCCATCTGCTGGCCCATCACATTGTCAAACATGTACAAGTCTAGAAACTGGGGCTCTCCCTTAGGATGAATACAGGACAGTGACCTTCCGGATGTCTGTGTCTTATCTGACAAATACCTGCCCATCATGTGATGCTAACCGAGTCCCCCAAATTTTAGACCAGGGCTTGGGGTAGTATGTGGAAAACGGAAAAGTTTGGCCACTCGATCTTCGTCTCCCAAAGACCTTTCAAAGTCTCTGGAAAGGAAAAAAAAGGAAAGAATGGAAGTAGCGGAGGAAGAAAGGGCAGAGACGGGCTGGAAGGATGCTCAGAATTAGTTAAGCTACCTCACAAGAGCACTGGCGGCTGTTCACACAGGGCCACTGTCCTACGACATCAAGGACGACAGACCCAGCTCCATCCCCCGTCTGAGGAAGACTGAGGAAACCAGGACCAGCAGGTGTCGTGGACACCTGTTCAGGAGCTGGGCCCACATGGCTCAACTGCGGCTCATGTCCTGGACCTAGTGGCTTGCTACCTAATCCCCCCACTCCCCCATCTGGTGAGTGCACATGCCTTATAGCAAATTTTAAAAAAATTAAGTAATTCTAAAAAAAATAATAAAGACTGGGGCCAGCAAGTGGCATGGTGATTAAGGGCGCTGGACTCCCATATAGCCAACCACGGTTCAAGTCTCAGACCTGGTGGCTTGCTTTCTCACTTCCTCTCTCTCTCTCTCTGATCAAACTGGAAAATAACAATGATAATAATAATTCTTTAAAAAAAATAAAGACTGGGACAACTATTAGGTTGTCGAGAAAGTCATGACAACTTTTTTTTTTTTAGTGCAAAAATGCCTCATGACTTCCCCAACAACTCAGTATTTCCTAATGTATAACGTTCCAAAGCAAATCTTCCAAGACTCTTATATACCACAGATGAATTAACGCAATTAAAAACGAACAGTATCTTCAATGTACTAAATGCCCGAAATGGGTGGTGAGCACTCAACAGTCTAGGCAGGACGGGCAGACGCAGATTTCTGGAGCGCCTGTCTTGAGAGTGGACGCGTCACTAGCCCAGCTTTCAGGCCTTGCACCCTCTTGAGATCCAAAGGCAGAAGCCACTCTAGGGTCCAAGCTTCGGTCCTCTCATCACATTGACCCCAAGCCTGGAATGCAAGCTAGCATTTAGTACAACTCACTGGACAGAATTGAACTTTACAGTCCTGGGATGTAGACACTTCTTTGCTCTATTTTTCTGATGGAAAAATAGTACCTTTTATTCAAGATCGTATTTTCTAGAAGTTCAGTCTGATCATAAGGTATTCATTCTTATTCACCTTATTACCTGGTTGGTAAAATAACTGTTTGACCTTGAATTAGTATGGAACCAGGAAGTTATTTCAGAAGTAAAAACATTAGATTTACTAGAGACCTATTTGAACTGTGCTTTTTCTTAAGGATTATTTTATTATTTTTAAATTTGATGAGAGAGAATGTGTGTGTTTGAGAAAGCAAGCTGCCAGGTCCGGGACTTGAACTGTGGCCAGCCACATGGGAATCCAGCACCTTATACAACATGTCACCTGTTGGCTCTAAGAACTCTGCTTTTTCCTTTGTTTTTGCTATGGGAGGATGAGAAAACATCCCCCAGTGGGGATGGTCACACTGTAATCCTTTCTCCTCCATCTCCTCTTGGGATTTTGGGCACCCATACCCACGAGCCTGGTATGTTTTTCAAGCTGCTGAGTCCAGGACTCAAACTGTGAAGTCAGCCATGTGGGATTCAACCACCTTAACCACCACACCACCAGCTGACCCTGAACTGTTTTTTCCTTTTTTTTTTTGGAGAGGTTTTTGCTATAGGGTGCATGCGCTCCCCAGACAGCCAGAGGCAGACATACGAGACAGAAAGCGAGAAATCACCCCCTGGGGGGGGATGGTCACACCGCAATCCCTTCTCCTCCATTCTCCTCTCGGGATCTTGGGCACACACGCACATGCGCCCGGCGTGAGTTTTAAGCCACCGCGTCCGGGACGTGAACCGCGGTCGACTACGTGGGAGTCCAGTGACATAGCCTTTACGCTAACTGCTGGTTCCCCTGAACTGTTTTTTCAATGGAGACTTTAAATAATAATGATTTTAGTTCCCTTTATCATCTCCTGAAGGATCATGCAGTTTATCAACTGCACTTTATGAATGTTCCTTAAGGCAGGTAGTTAAGGCCTCTTCTTACACATTAGTGGGTTCAGATTTGACAACCAGGGTGGTCACTGCCCATTTTTAAAGAGGCCCACAGCCCTGTCCCAGGACTAACTACCACTGCTGGGTAGGTGGTGATCTGGTACGGCAGTCACCCTGACAAGAAACAATGCTGTTCTAAGGAATGCTTTCCTGAGACACCCCCATCAGAGCCAGGGCACATGTTAACCGTGTTCAAGCTTCAGGGAGTTAAAGAAAATGCCTAATTCCATGTCGGCGCTCTTCCAGAAATGGAGGCAACAGCAGCAACCATGCCGGAGCTTCGGTGTTTTTTCCTTCCTAACTTCAGCATGTCTGGAGTCAGCTGGGCCCGTTTAGCTGAGAGATGCAGGTTAGGACAGGGCATTCCTTAGACCTCTCAGAGGTTTCCGCGAGGAGGATGCAGCATACTGAGTCCGTGTTTTCCAGAGTAAAGGCATGATCGACTTGGCATAGAGAGGACATCGGAAATGTCTTGTGTGTGTGCGTAAAATCTTACAGTGTATGTACACATGTTTACACCTACAGAATCTGTACACTGGGTAGGAAGGCAGATCCCTCGTGTGAGGCTGTGGGCTCACAGTGTGTCTGTAAAAACAAGAGCAGAACAAAGACCACGACATAAACTAAACGCCTTTAAGAGCAGCTGTGGGGTGCTCTGCTCCTCCAGGGTGTGGCTGAGGGTGGCCTGGGAGTGCGTGTTTTAAGGGCCGAAGCCACCACGAGATTCCCCTGGAGCAGCTGTCTCTCCCGGGTCAGGACAGATGAGTTTGGCTTTCCCCGAGCGGGGCGGAAAAGGCAGAGGGAACCCAGAGCCAGTGTGCAGCCTGCAGGTGGGGGGTGCTCGTGCATGCACTCTATCTGGGGAGGGGGTTTTGGTCTCAAAATCATAATTCAGTTACTCTTCATCCCTACAGATGGCAAGGCACAGAAAAAAAGGCGGGGGCTGCCCGGCTCAGACTGGACTGACGACAGGCAGGACGGTGCCCTCGTGAGGCGCTGCATGATTTGTTGAGTCCCGGCTAATCTCTGTCCTGCAATTCCACCTGCCACCAACCACCCACAAGTTCCCCGGACATACTCATGAAAACACCTTAGAAAGAAATGAATTAGTGTGTGAAAGGCATGGATGGATTTTATTTATTACCCTATATCTACAATTTAATTTGAGGTAAAATATAAGCAACACATAAAAATGCCTATTTCTGCTACCATGTAATATAATTCTCTATTGTGAATATTGTGATAAAGCTAATGAAAACTCTATGCCATCACATACTCTAGCTTTTCATATAGCTGGTATTTTACAACTCTTACTGTCTGAAATCTCAACACAAGGCAGATTCTCCTACAGCTGGCGCAGACCACCAGAGGGCGTCCTCAGCTCACTGACCCCTCCAGCTCCCCACACGGGTGCCTCAATGGAACAAGTAGAATCAGAAGACGACGAAGGCAACGACAACCCCTTGAGCCTGATCCCAGCTGGAACGGTGTTCCAAAGAATTCCACGCCACAACAAGTGAACATGATCGGAGGCTTTAGTGTCATCTAGCTTGCCCAAATACTCATACCTGCTCTTCGACTTCTGGTATACCATGCATTTTATTTGGACAAAAAAGCAAAAGTGGAAGAGGTTCTCTGTGTTTCGTCTATAATCCACACGCTGAGATACTGACCTCTTGTTGACCGTTAGGTGATCCAGACGGTTTTTCTTTTAATTATGATAAAAAACATATGAACCATGATAGATAGCTTAGGAAAAGGTTTAGTCAAATATACAGATACTAATTGTTCACTCAGTCATTAAGGAGAACTGTGAACAAAGGATCATTTAAATGATTTTTCAAATAGAAAAACTAAAGAACTGAACTACACAGGAATTTTCTTCACTGCAGAAGCTGAAATGTTCCAGTAGGAGATATCTTCACTTGATTGGAAAATAAACACCATAGCTGAAGGCTCTGCTGAATATGTAAAAAATCTGATGAGATTCATCCCTGTCATTTTCCCTGTCATTTTTCCAGCATTGCTGTAAAATCCTTATAATACATTCCAAAGTAAACCAGCCATTCCAAATCTACAGTCACTCTGCTCTTTAATTCAATTCACAGAACTGCTGAAAAAGTAGACATTTCTATCTAAAAGTAGAAAAAAAGGTTTGTATAGAAGGTTTTTCTGTTATACAAGTATATTACACAGCTTGGGGCAGTAACAGGTCCGAAAAGCTCTTCTCAACCACTGATACTTTAAGCTAGAATAGGAGAGAAAACAAACAAACAAGCAAATAGGTTAATCTGATTACAGGAATTAAAAACTCACCAAATACCACAACTTTATTTACAGATTTTGGTATTACTTCTCTTTTTCTCCCCACTTTGCCAGAGGGTACGTGACCTCAGAGACAGAAAGTGAGACGGCAACCCCCAAGGGGGAACGGTCACACTGTGATCCCTGCCCTTCATTCCTCCCTCCTTTCGGGATGTACGACCCGCGGATGCACGTGCCGTGCCTGCTTTTCACATCCCTGGGTCCAGGACTCAAACCATGCAGTCGGCCATGTGGGATCTAGTCGCCCTAACCAACACGCTACCAGCTGGCATAATAATTACTTTGATTAAAATGTCCTCATGAAATGACAGGAAACCTGAAGTACAGGAATTGACTGCATAAGGCAAATTTCCTTACAACAAAAGTCTCTGGATTAAAAAAACCCACTGCTGGGACCAGCAGATGGCGTAAGTTGTTGGACCCCCATGCAGTCAACTGTGGTTTGAGTTCCTTAGCTGGTGGCTTAAAATCATGCTGGGGGGGAGGGGGGACCAGCAGGTGGCATGGTGGCTAAGGCGCTGGACACTCCCATATGGCCGACCAGGGTTCGAGTCCTGAATTTGGTGGCTTGCTTTCTCACTTCCTCTCTCTCTCATCCTGTCTTTCTCACGTCAAATTAAAAAATAAATGAATGAATAAATAAAAATAGAATAAATAATTACTAAAAAAAATCATGCTGGGCACATGTATGTGTGTGCCCAAAAATCCAGAGAGGAGAATGGAAGAGAAGGGATTGCAGCAGGGCCACCCTCCATTGCTTTCTGTCTCTCTCTCTCTCTGGTGAGCAGATGTGCCCTATAGCAAAAATCTCTCTTAAAAAATGAACAAATGGGTCGGCAGTGGTATGGTGGTTAAGGGCACTGGACTCCCATATGGCTGACAGCAGATCGAGTCCTGGACCTGGCAGCTTGCTTTCCCACTTTCTCTCACTCTCTCAGTCCCTCTCTGGTCAAAATAAAATAAGTAAATAAAGCTAAATAAAATAACTCCTTAGAAACAAAAATAAACAAAAAATAACCCATTGTTGGGTTTGTCGTTAAGCCCTGTGCAGTGGGAGCCAGATCCAGCAGCTTGAAAAACACACTGGGCACGTGGGTGCACATGGCCCAAATGCTGATGGGAAGGAGAAATGGGAGAAGAAGGATTATGGCGTGAGTGTGCGCCACTAGGGAGTGCTTTCTCTCTCCCTCTCCTGGAAACATATGTACCGTCTAGCAATAAACACAAAACAAAACAAAGACCCTGTCAAGATTCAGATCAGACCCAACTAATGTCATTAACTATAACGAAGCATCAACGGCAGAAGCTTGGGAGATTCAACGGGAAATAAGAATTATGTTTTTCTACTCTTGATCTAACACCACTGCTCCTACTAAAAGCCATGCCGTGTTTAAGACGTCGGAAGTAACAGGATCGGATGTATTAATTATTTGAGACCTACAATGGATCTGCGGCTCAGTCAGATTGCTAATACTATTATTAAGGAAAAACAGTCTGATGATACTGACTCATGGTGAATTCCCATGGTGAAAACACGGTTTACCCTATATATAGACTAGAAACAAGACACTTTCCTTTTAAGGAAAAGTGCTTTCTATATCTTGGACTGACAGACATATATCGATTCAAAGAAAACCTCTGCTTCCTCCTAGCTCTAAGCGGTTTCTCAGTAAGGCTGACACCTGGAGTCCACATCCCTTGGAGGCAGGGCAAACGCATTAACTTATGAACGTGCAGGTGGTTCAGGTGGGCACTACGGGGCATCTTGGACACAGAAGCGATTTACCCTCGGAGGGAAGAGGTCTACCACGTGGGATCTGGTTCTTGCTTGATCTGAGAGTTTCCATCAGTCTCCTTTACTTCTATCAAGAGAAAGAGGATACTGATTAACTGATTAATCCAAAACTATCAATTACAAATCCATTCACACCAAACTATCCACTAAGGTATAATTTATGAAGAATTATATTTGCTTTTGGAGAGACGTTTCTCTGGCCACAGATTCTAAATTCTTTTTCTTACGTTGTCAAAGTAACAAACATTTGATTGCTCCTACGTACATAAAGGATACACACTACTTAGGTTATAGAGTGGCCATTCAACTGTTTTAGAATTCATCAAGAGTCATCTGGAGAAAACGGAGCAAAAAGGCCATGAATCATCTCTGAACACTTCATTTCTCTGCATAAACTACAAATCCACCCCCAGAAACAAGACGTCAGCACACTTCCAGTTAAACAGTTCAAAAAACACAGCTAATCCTCGTCCTGACTGTCTTAAAGAACTTCGGATTTTCACAACTGGAGTGCACTTTTACCTTCTGTTGCTGGAGCTTCCACCTGGCTTGGCTCAGCCGATTCTAAAGAGAAACACATGAACATTTATTTTAGGGATCAGCAGATGGCACAATAGTTACATCAATCAACTCCCACATGGCCGATCACAATTCGAGTCCTGGACCCCGGAGCTTGAAACTCATGCTTGGTGAGTGTCCAAAATCCCGAGAGGAGATTGGAGGAGAAGGGACTGTAGCATGGTCATCCCTCCTGGGGGGATGATTTCTTGCTTTCTGTAGCAAAAATACTTTTTAAAAAAATAAAAAAGAAGATTTATTTTAACAGTAAGCAGAAGTTACTTTAAGTTATTTAAAGAACCTGGAGTGAGGAAGAGCCTAGAGGAAGGAACAGAGGGAGAAGCTCTCCCAACTTTGAACACAAAAGACAAGTTTAAGGTTAGCCAATAGCAGATTCTTGAGATTCGACACAATTATTCAGCTTTACTTCTAAAATACCACTCTTCTGAAATATGCTGTTAACATATACAGCTGAAATCTGTGTTTTGTTTGTTTGTTTGTTTTTTTAGTGAGAGATTTTTGCTATAGGGCATGTGTGCTTGCCAAAGAGACAGAAAGCAAGAATTCACCCCCCAGGGAGGATGGCCATGGCTCAATTCCTTCTCCTCCAGTCTCCCCTTTGGATTCTGGGTACACACACATGCGCTCAGCGTGGGTTATCTTTTTAAGCTGCTGGGTCAAGCAACGTAACCAATATGTCATCTGCTGGTCCCACACAACTGAAATCTTAAATAGTAATCTTGCATAGCTCTACCATTATGACTATTTTTTCTATTCTTCTATGGGCTACACTTTTATTTATTTTAAAAATTTTGCCAGAGAGACAGAAGCAGAGATGGGGGAAAGTAAGAAAGCACCTCCCATGGGATATAGTCACACTGCAATTCCATCTCTACTTTTCTCTCCCTTTAGGATTTTGGGCGCATACACCAGCAGTGTTTCTCAAGCTGGTAGGTCTGGAACTCTAACCACACAGTTGGCCATGTGGGATCCAAGCACCTTAACCACCTAGCTATGCCTCCTTACTTTCTAAGAAAATTTTTAAAATGTAATATATACATTTACACTCAAATTTTTTTTTTTTTTTACTACCTTATAGCCAGCAAGCTGGTGGCATGGGGGTTAAGGTGGCTGGATCTCACTTTGGCCAACTGTGTGATTTGAGTCCTGGACCTGGCAGTTTGAGAAACATGCTGGGTATATGTGCATGCATGTCTAAAATCTCAAGAGGAAAATGGAGAAGAGAGAATGTCATGACCATTTCCAAGGGGTGGAGATTCTTTCTCATCTTCTTTTTCTGTCTTGCTCCAGTGACTACATGTGCCCCGTGGCAAATTAAAAGAAAATAAAAAAGAAGAAGAAACTGACAGTATAAAGAGTAAATATAAAAAGATGGGGGCCAGCAGGTGGTGTGGTGGTTAAGGGCACAGGACTCCCACATGGCCAACCATGGTTCAAGTCCTGGACCTGGCAGCTTGTGCTCTCTCTCTCTTTCTGGTCAAATTAAAATAAATAAATAAATAAAAGAGTTCAGAATCAAATAAAAATATTAAATTATTTTAAAAAAAAAGAGATAACTTACAGATCAGCAGGTGGCATAGTACTTTTAAAGCACTGGATTCCACATGGCTGACTGCAGTTTGAATCTCAGACTCAGTGGCTTATAAAACATGCTGGGCATAGGAACCAGTAGATGGCATAATGATTATGTTGCTGGATTCCCATGTAGTCAACTGTGGTTTGAGTCCTGGACCTGGTGGCTTGAAATTCATGCTGGGTGTGTGTGTGCGCGCATGCCCAAGATCCTGGGAGGAGAATGGAGAAGGTATTGCAGTGTGGACACTGCCCCTCAGGGGTGTCTGGCAACGCACACACCCTATAGCAAAACCTCTCTCAACAAACAAACAAACATGGGACCAGCGGGTGGCGTGGTGGTTAAGGTGCTGGACACGCCCACAGGGCTGACAATGGTTCAAGTCCCAGACCGGGCAGCTTGCTTCTTCACTTCCTCCCACCCTCTCTGTATGTGTGTCTATCTCTGGTCAAATTAAATAAATGAATAAAATTAAATAAATATTTAAAACAAACAAACCAAAAAACATGCTGGACGTGTGTGCGTGCATATCCACAATCCTGAGAGGAGAACGAAGAAGGGATTGCAAAATGGCCATCTCCACTGGGGGATGGAGGGTGATCTCTCACTTTCCCTCTCTCTTTGACGAGTACATGTGCCCTAAGGCAAAAATCTAAAAACATGACCTTCTTATTTATTTCATCCTACACTCAGTCCAGGGTTCCCTGAAGCTATACCTGGCCTGACATAGTGGGTCACGTGGTCTGTGACCTGCAGCTCTCACTCGGGACCTACAGTTCAAGGGTGTGTTAATACACGCTCCCCAACACAGGGATTCAAAGAAACGAAGACTAAGAGTGCGTGCGTGCCTTAAAGGCAGGAGAGAAGCAGCCAGGGAGCCCACACGACTACCTGTGATTGGTCCTACTGTGCAAGTAGGGACATTTCTGTTTGCCTGCTTCACATACCTTGTATCACTGGGCCTTCTGACTCACTCTGATCAACCAACTCTGAAAGTAAAGAGATTTGTTTAAATGAAAACCACATGAGAGCTGAGCTATCACTTCCACATACATTTGCTATTCTGATGCTCCAACTCTGCCACTATGGGCACGACTTCCCTCGTGACAACAGAAAGGGATAACCAGGCCAACCTCGCAGTGCAGCAGGTTAACTGCTACGCAGAGGAAGCCGGATCCTCAACAGCCGAGGAGGGTTTGAGTCCCAGCCCTGGGGCTCGGAAAACATGCCGGGGGTGCATGTGCCCAAGATCCCACAGGGATGGAGGACTGGAGAAAAGAGACCAGAGCGGAACCAGGTGCTGACGAGGGTGTTTTCTCCCTCTCCCCCTCTCTTGTACCCTCTGGCATTTAAATTAAACAAATAATTAAAAGTTCTGCTATGTCTTGTCAAAATCCCTAATTCATAGTAATCACCACAAAACTATCATAGACTACTGCACAAGGATGAGAACAAAACTGAACATTTTACACAAAAACGTAAGGGACAAGTAGGCTAAAAATATGTTTAGACATTAAGCATTATATAGTAGAGGGGCCAGCACATGGTGGTGTGGCCTGGTGGTTAAGGGCGTTGGACTCTCACAGGGCCAACCACGGTTCAAGTCCAGACCTGGTGGTTTGCTTTCTCACTTTCCCTCTCTCTGTCCCTCTCTGGTCAAATTAAAATAAACAAATCAATAAATAAAGTTAAATAATATAATTCTTTTAAAAAGTTATATATAGTATATGAATGGGGATTAATTTTAAAAGATTTAAAAAACACAAAAAAAAACCCAAACAACTGTCATAAGGTTGCCCTTAAGTGACCAAGTTCTCTTACGGCAATTTAAACTGCACGTTTGCTGACTGGTGGAGGGAGCTGGATCCCACATGGCCGACTGGCGGTTTGCAGCCTTGCCACAGCAGCTAGAAAAACACACCAGGCCTGCATGCATGCCCAGAATATTCTGGCGGGATGGAGAAATGGAGAAGGGACTGCAGCATGGCCATGCCCCACAGGGAATGCTTTCTCCCTCCCCTGTCTGTCTCTGGCAAAGCACACACCCTCCGGTAATTAAAAGGAACAAAAGGCTGAAGGTCACACTCTATGAAGCAAAGTATACCTTCTCTGTCTCCACTGACAACCTGGATACTAATACACGTGCCGAGATAGGAGATAAGCTAAAAACAATATTAAAAAACGAACTCAGGATTTGTGGTCCCAATAAATGAATAAATTTGATGATAAAATGAAACTCAAAACTTGGAGGCAGAGAGAAACCACTAAATCCATGACACCAAAGGGTGAAAGCCAAAGAACAGGGTCAATGGCACCAGCAAAAAGCAGGAGCAGAGAGCAGGTGTCATAGCACAAGGTTCCAGGTCAAGGGTGAGCCAAGGACTCAGCTCTGCTGAACACAGTCACGGGAAAGTCTGACTGTGACGATGAAAGGGGTTACTTTCCCAATGAATAACTACACAACAGCCAGTGAAGACGAATTATAAACATCAGAATGATAATTAAAAATAGAAAGATGAAAATGAAAAAGATATTATTTAAAGATGGGTGTCACTTTTGTAAATGTTGAGTAAGGTGAAGAGAATGACACAACACACACCAGCACTGTTAGCGCTGTTGGTAACTCAGATACTAAAAAATGGGGGACCAGCAGATGGCACAATGGTACGTCACTGGACTCCCATGAAGTCGACCATGGTTTGAGTACCTGGACTTGGTGGCTTATGCCAGGGGTGTGTGTGTGTGTGTGTGTGTGTGTGTGTATATGTGTGTGCGCGCATGCGCACCCAAAACCCTGAAAGAGGAATGGAGGAGAAGGGATTGTGGTGTAGCCATCCCCACTGGGGGTGATTTCTTGTTCTCTCTCTCTCTCTCTCTGCCGAGTGTATGTGCCCTGTAACAAAAATCTTAAAACAAAAAACAAAACCTCAAAAATGACATGAACATTAGGGAATTCAAGAGATACATTTGTTTACTCAGCAACATTTGAGAGGCCAGGTTTGCCAGAGTTTGCCAAATATCATGCTTAAATATTAACAGAAACAAGCTAAATGACATTTAGTAATGTGCTGTCATCAGACTCTAGCATAATTACATCACAACAGAAGTAACAGCATAAATAATATAGATTGCATTTGCTAAGCACATACTATAGACCAGACGTTGTTTTAGGTTACAAGTCTACAAACCTTTTCCTTTTTTTTTTGAGAGGTTTTTGCTATAGGGCACGTGTACTCGTTGGAAAGACTGAGAGAGACAGAGAGACAGAAATCGAGAAATCACCCCCCAGGGGGGATGGTCACGACGCAATCCCTTCTCCTCCATTCTCCTCTCGGGGTCTTGGGCACGCACGCACACATGCCCGGTGTTGAGTTTAAGCCACCAGGTCCGGGACTCGAACTGTGGTCGATTAAATGGGAGCCCAGTGACATAGCCATTACGCTAACTGCTGGTCCCTGCAAACCTTTTCTTACAGAGCCAGTTAGTAAATATTTTAAGGTCTGCAGGCCACGAACTCTGGTGCAATTTCCCAGTTCTGCCATAAACAAATAAACACAGTGCTATTTCAATAAAACTCCATCCACAGACACAGGCAAAAACCTACTGACCTCAGATTTTGCTGCTTTACAGCATTTAAAATGCTCTGTAACCCCCAACAATGGATACTGTTGCTTCCATTTTATGATTGAGTAAACCAACGATGAGAAAAGATAAGAAACTGGCTCAATTTTACATCTAGGGAGGGCCTGGTGCTTTATACTACAGGCTAAAATAACAATGACCTTACATGGCTACTGACATACGTGAAGTAACGTATGATACCCTGTGTATTAAGACGCATACATAAGCACATGTACACACGCGCACATGCACACACACACACCCTCAATACCCCAGAAAAACACAATGGAACAAAAAGACTTCGTGAAATACTCACGGTTATTAATCACAAGTCCTGGAAATGGTCTAATGAGAGAAACAAATTGTATAACTGTTTATTTCTACTCTACAAGAACTTGTATGTCTATTCAGTTTATTAAATTAATATTCAATCCATGTCACTTAGGTGCTACCATGAGAAATATTTAACCACTACTTTATAACCTTTTGGAACAGACAGATACATATATGAGAAACTAATATGGAACATTATTAGAGAATGTTACACAAAAGATGAAGAAAAGACAAAAAATATGAACACAGAAAAGGGAATACAATAATTCTATTTAAATGGTCTGCTGGAAGAAGCTTTTTGCCCAACCCCGGGAATATAGACAATAGCCATTGGTAATGTGAGACAAAACATGGAATTGTTTTTAGGGGATGAGAGTTGGGAAAAGAGGAATGGACGAGAAAAAGCCTCTAAAGGGTAATATATTAAAGACGGTGAGGTGCCAGTCCTAAGGGGTTTGTACTGGGCTAGTGGGAACTTAACGGTGAGCTAACTGGGTAGGATCTGGTAACAGCTCGGATTTCAGGGGTTGGAAGGAGAGAGTGAAGGTAACTTGGGGTTTTTGCTTAGGCAGATGTTGCTTATGGTGCTAAGCACATATTAATAATAGAGCATAGTTCTCCTGCTGCAAGGGGGTAGGTATAATCCTTGTTCGTCCTCTGGATAGCTCAGAAGCAGACCATGTCCAAGAAAAAAATGGTCATCATTTTACAGATGAGAAAACAGAATCAATCTGATTAACATGTGGCTGACTTGGGACGAGATCCCTCTAAACTGAAGCCCGAGCTGAGAAAGATACCGTAAGACAAAAGTTGGCAAAATTTTTCTGAAAACTGCCAGACAATAAATAGTTTAGCCTTTGCAGGTCAGGTTGTCTCTGTCCCAGCTACTCAACATCGCCAATGTGAAGTGAATGCAGCCACAGATAGATGATATCTGAATAACTGAATAGAACTGTTTTAATCAAATTAAAGTATGAGTTTATTTTGGTGCAAAAATTGTGCAATAACCTTGCGTGGTTACTTCGTACTGTGCGCTTTCTACGACTTTGTGCAGACCCTTACACAGCTGCATTCTGGAAGATGACTTAGCCCCTAGACCCCAGATGTGTCCTGACGTGGCAGGGCTCTTACCCACCTGATGACCGTGAATTTGATGAACTCGGCAGAATCTAGGATCCTTCTCATGGAGCTGATTTCCAGGTAACTGGGGGCTTTGAATGATACACCAGGGGGCATGCCATCCACCACCACGCAGCCAGGATTGATTGTGATTTTCCTATAGGGAACTTTCACTGGAAAACCCATACCAATAGCTTCACCTGTTAGAAGACAAATAGCAAAAAAGTACAGATTAATTTATCACTTTAACAAGATTCAAAGACACATGACCAACATTTATTTTAAAAACTCTGTCATTAACTAAAGTCTTTGTATACTTCAAACAAACTTAAACATGAAATTTATTATTAATTTAGATACTATTCTTTAATCTGCAACATAATTAATGTTTCTCATATAACAGATTCAGCAAAAACAAAATACTTATTTTTTAATATTTTAGTCCTCTGTTTACAGGAAGATTACAATTCTCTAACTGCCTTTATTAAAACAAGATATCCTTGCTTACTCCAAACTGTACTTTGCAGATACAAAACTTACCAAATTTTCGACTGAACAGGTCATTCACTTGTTCTCTTAGCTGTCTAGCTTTTTCCACTTTTGACAGTCTTTCATTATCATCATCTGAAACAGTTGAGAGAAAACCCCAAACTTAATAATGCACACTTATTTCTAAATCAATATTTAGGAAAACTTAATAATGCACACTTATTTCTAAATCACTTTTTAGCTGTTCTAATTTTTTTTGAGTAAGCATTTTGAACTAGTTTACTTTGAAACTGTTTAAAATGATAATACCAACTTGAAAATGCTACCACCTTATTCCTGTTATAAAGATTCCCCCCCCATAGGGTGCAAAGGCTCACAAGAGAGAAACATAGAAAGTGAGAAATCACCCCCCAATGGGGATGGCCACGCTGCAATCCCTTCTCATTCATTCTCCTGGGATTTTGGACATGCATGCACATGCACGTCGTGTGTTTTTCAAGTACCTGGGTTTGGGACTTGAACCATGGCATCAGCCATACAGGAATCTAGTGCCTTAACTACCATACCACCTGCTGGCCTTTGTTATAAAGATTTTTACCTGCTGCTCTCATACAACATTTAAAAAAAAAATTATTTAATTTTATTATTATTTTATTTTTTAACCTCATGAGAGAGAGAGAGAGAGAAGGAAAGTAAGAAAGCAAGATATCTGGTCTGGGACTCAAATCGTGATCGGCCACGTGGGAGTCCTATGCCTTAATTATCATTTCTCCCACTTGAGGGTCCTTATACAGATTTTTTTAAAGGATAGATTAGACATTTTGGTGGCTAACAGGTTTTGGCTCATGCACAGTGCAGTAGCTGTTAGAGCTGCTTACAGGTAAACTGTGATGGATCTGGTAAATGATTTCCGCAGGGGCAGGGAGGCATACATGGCAACAGCAGCACATTTGTCCCTGAATGGCTGGAACAAATCCTAGCAAGCCATGTTGGGAAAGTTAAAAAAACTAAAGATACAAACTAGGAAGAAGGCAGAGAAAGCGTACCTGGAATTGTCACCTGAATGATGTTAAGGTCTTCAACACCTGATGCAGTAGTATTAACATTGGGCGATGAATTTATTTTTCCTTAAAAGAGAAAGTTACAATTAGAGTTTATGGAAAACAGTGGTTAAAAATCTTTGCTAATAAGCAGGAAGTGAGGTACTTATAATTAAGGCTACACAAGATACTATATATGTATGTATGTATGTTTCTGTGTTTTGGCCACAGGGCACACGAGTTCACTATAGAGAGACAGTGAGAGGAAAAGTGAGAAATCAGTCCCCAGAGGGGATGGCCACACCACAATCCCTTCCCCTCCATTCTCCTTCTGGGATTTGGGCTTGCATACACATGCGACCAGTGTGATTTTTAAGCTGCCAGGCCTGGGACTCCAACCACAGTTGGCCACATGGGAATACAACGCTTTAACCACTATGCCACGTGCTGGCCCACAAGACATAATTTTAACATAACTTTATTCGGAGTTGTTTATTTGGATAGTATGTTTTATCATTCTAGTAAGATAGCAAGCTTCCCAAATGACTGTAATTTTCACTATTTCTTCCTTCCTGGTGGCGTTAGCAGAGTAGCACATGCAAAGAGGTACTCAATTATCAAATAACTAAAAATTGAGCCTGCCCATGGCTTAGTCATTAAGAAAGTCAGATTCCACATGGCTGACAGGGTTTAAATCCTGGGCCCAGGGGCTTGAAAGACACACCAGCACCTGTGTGTACATGTTCCAAATCTCAATAGGATGGAGAAGGAGAGGGAGCTGAGGTATGACTGTACCCCATTGGGGATGATTTCTCCCTCTCCCTCTGTCTCTTCCTGGTGAGCACATACGCCCTATGGCAATTAAAATAAATAAATAAATACACTTTAAAAATGGCCCCAGTCAAGGTAGCACAGGTGTTAAGGCACCACTGTGTGTTGCTGGACCTGTACTGGGGGCCCTGGTTTGGACCTCAGGTTATCTTGAACATGCTGGGTGTACCCACGCGCACCTCTGATCCTACCTGACTGTAGGAAGGAAAGGATCATAGTGAGGTGAAAGCCAGTCAAAAGCAGCTTGTCTGTCTTTTTCATGAAAAAAGTAAATAAAATAAACTAAAAAAAAACCCAAAAAACAAAAAACAAAAAACAGAAAAACTTATAGCTGGCCTTGTTGCCTAATGGTTAAGGAAAGCTGGATCCCAAATGGCTGACTAAAGTTTGAGTCCAAGCTCCAGTGGCTTGAAAAGCACACTGGGCATGCGTGAGTACATGCCCCAAATTTCAACAGTATAAAGAACAGAAAAGGGACTGCAGCCTGACCATGTCCTACTGGACGGTGCTCTTACTCCCTGGAGAGTCTACACACTCTGGCAATTTAAAAAACAACAATAAATAGGGACCAGCAGATGGCATAATGGTTATGTTGCTGGACTACCACATGGTCAACCGCAGTTTAAGTCCTAGACTTGACAGCTTGAAACTCATACCGGGAGTGTATGGGTGCATGTCCAAAATCTCAAGAGGAGAAGGGATTGCAGCGTGGCCACTCCCCAGGGAGTGATCTCTCGCTTTCTGTCTCTGTGTCTCTCCAGCTGGCACACACATCCTATAGCAAAAATCAAAACAAAACCAAAACCAAAACCAAAAAAACAACAAAACACCCTTACTCTTAAAAATAAATAAATGTTATAATACATACAATTTATTTTTAAAAATTAAATGGTCAAAATCCCAATTTTGAATGAGATTTCCTGGTTTTATTTTAACAGCTATTCCTTAAACAATCTTCTCAAGATACAGCTGCAAAATAAATTTTTTTTTTTTGAGAGGTTTTTGCTATAGGGTGCATGCACTCGCCAGAGAGACAGAGAGAGACAGAGAGATAGAAAGCGAGAAGTCACCCCCCAGTGGGGGATGGCCATGCCGCAATCCCTTCTCCTCCATTCTCCTCTCGGGATCTTGGGCATGCACGCACACGCGCCCAGCATGAGTTTAAGCCACCGGGTCCGGGACTTGAACCGTGGTCAACTACATAGGAGTCCAGCAACATAGCCATTACGCTAACTGCTGGTCCCGCAAAATACATTTTTAACACCATGCTTTCTATAGCAAGGGCACTCACTTACTTGGAGGGCTTTTAGAGGAGGTGCTCTCCTTAATTGCCGTCTCAAACATTTCAGGCCTACAAACAATAGAAGAGAAAAATGTATGCTAATCCCATAGTAAAAGTCCAAGATTAAAAACTAAACAAGTAAAAGATTAAAAAACCAGTAACTAAATATATACTCAATTCTTAGCACTGGAAGAACAGAAATTACAGGTGTGTAAGAACAACTAAAAAGGAGAATCCTTAGTCCTTAGTAACATCTTCCTGTCCTCCTCTCTGACACCACTTCCCTTGCTCACAGCAGTTCTATCATCAGCTTGTTCCCTGGGCTATACCATTCCCTACCGAGACTCGGTGTCAGACCTGAGAACGGAAAGAGCCAATGGAATGCCCCGGGAACACTGCCTGGCAGTGTAAGACCAGCCGTGAGAACGAAGAGCACTGTGTCCCCCTCGGGAGCAGAGGCAGGGCCTTCGCTGCCAAATCTCTACAGTTTGGCACACAGCACCAAAGGGGGCCGCGAAACTCAGCCCCGGACAATGATTATGTGACAGCACCCCTGGGTGTCTCAAAGGGAAGCCTCACATCAAGTAAATGAAACCTAAAATCCATTTCAATTAATTTAAAATAAGTCTTGAGCAATATATAGTTCTTAATTCCAATTATTCCCATATATTTCCATTGGCAGCCCACTTTTTAGGTCTTCGAGCAAATACAGGAGCAATTAAGACTATTCTGTACACTGGAGGAAGAAAAGGCTTTAGAAACGTAGATACTGCTTGGGTTCTAGCAGCACCGACCAGGGTAAACACGCCCCGGGGAGATCTAGACGTAGCAAGGTCAGGCTGGGAGCTCTCTGACGTGCCAGCGTGCTCCTTCCCATTTCCTGGGCTTTGAAGGAAAACCATGTGCACATGGAAACACGGTTTAAAGAGTTCTGGCTCTAGAGCTAATTTAGCCCTGCCACAAGCATGAACCCACATCCCATTGCCCAGTGTCAAGCAGGACCAACCCAGGGCCAGTATGGGTCATCTAGTTTCTCACTTTTTAATGATGAACTTAATTTTGGCTTTGTTTCTAAGTATCTTCTCCAGCCTTGGAATGCCAAAAGTAGATGGTCTTCGGAATGGCACACCCTCGGGTAAGCCTTCCACGTAAAAGTCTTCTGGGAAAGACTCAAATAATGCAAATGGCACCTTCACAGCTTGTTTAAGGCCCAGAGCTTCCCCTGTAAGACACACACACACATACAGAGCTTGCTCATTCCTCACGTTTATAACTTAAACTGTACGTTTTGAAAAACCAATTTAAAACTACATTTGGCAGTTACTAAAATCTTACTCATTTAAAAAATAATATTCATTTTAATTTTAAAAATTTCCTTTAATTTCTTGGTGCTCACAAAATGGAAGAAATTAGGAAATTCAAGCCTGAAAATGCACACAGTTCCAATAGCAGTAACATTTACATATTAAATATTTCACTCTGTGCTCATTCTTCTACTTACAAAAACCACCTTTCTTTCTAATAATTACGTTTCAGAATAAACTTACCACATTTCTCATTGAAAAGATTTTCAACTTTCTGTTTTAGGTCTGTGATTTTGGCATTCCAGGCCTCTGCATATAAAATAGAAGAGTCAACTTGTTTGTAATCTTTACCAATACACATTCATAGGTAAGAATTTTTTAATCTCCTTTTATTGTGCATCCTTAGGAAGTACTAATTTAAAACGGATAAGCTCTTAACACTGTCATGTCTTGGAAAGTATGCCAACCCTGATATACTACTGAATTGTTTTTTGGGGGTTTGTTTTAGGTTGCTGGTGGGCACATGCACTCACCAGAGACAAAGAGTAGGGGTCGGGTGAGGGTTGGGGGGGTGGTGGGATGAGAAAGCGTCTCCCCTGGGGGATAGTAATACCACAACCCCCTCTTCTCAGATATTTCTCCTTTTGGGATTTTGGGTATGCATGCACACACACCTGGTCCAGGACTTAGCACAGTTGGCCATATGGGATCCAGCCACCTTAACCACCAAGCAACTGGATGGCCTGAACCAGTTTAATATATTATTAAGGGTTACAAAAGAAATGATACATGTTGAAATGAACAAAAATTTAGGGACTGTCCCCAAATTACATTTGTTATGTGCCAGAAATGGTTCTAAGTATTAAGTGGCTTAAGGTACCTAATCCTCATAGATTAGTCCTATGAAGCACAAAGTATTACTATCCCCACTTTACGGATAAAGAAACTGAGGCACTGAGAATTACCCCATGCAAGCTCCTAGAGTTAAAAAGTCGTTCCATCAGATCTGACCTTAGCCAGTCTGGCTCTACACTTTGCCTTTAATCCTTAACATATACTGACTGACCAAATATAAACAATTTACCTGGGGGAAATAAAGTATTATTGATTCTTTTTATTTAACATGATCAAATTAGGGCCAGCAGGTAGCATGGTGGTTAAGGGACTGGACTCCTACATGGCTGACCGTGGTTTGAGTCCTGGATGTGGTGGCTTGCTTTCTCACTTTCTCTTTCTGTCTTTCTTTGGTCAAATTAAAAAAACAGTAACAAAACAAACAAAATGACAAAATCAAAGAAAATAATACGCTACACTTTGCCTTTAATCCTTAACATATACTGACTGACCAAATATAAACAATTTACCTGGGGGAAATAAAGTATTATTGATTCTTTTTATTTAACATGATCAAATTAGGGCCAGCAGGTGGCATGGTGGTTAAGGGACTGGACTCCTACATGGCTGACCGTGGTTTGAGTCCTGGATGTGGTGGCTTGCTTTCTCACTTTCTCTTTCTGTCTTTCTTTGGTCAAATTAAAAAAACAGTAACAAAACAAACAAAATGACAAAATCAAAGAAAATAATATGCATATTTACCAAAGGAAAACTCTCTCCCTCGAGGCTTGAAAGGAACATTAGAACCGTTAGTCTGAGTAGGAGTCCGAACAGCTGAGGTTTGAGGATTGTTGTTATTAGGGCCTAAAATAGAATTAAAAACAAATTACAACCAACATATATTCAATAATGCTTACGTGCTGCTTGTGGCATTGCTGGGCACAGCTCCGAGTTCTGCACATGCTGGGAAGCGAGGTTCGAAGGAGAATGGGAACTGTTTGAAGGAGAGTGAGCTCCACAGACCTCTGTCCACTTCTGTACTTCCATCCCTAAACGGCCAGCCTTTCCCCGGAAGACGACCAGCTCTGTGACTGACCTGAGAAACTTTAACTCAGTCGGTGTTTCATCTCATCTTTTTGGAGCCTTCTAATTTTTGGGTTACCAAAGTTTGCTTCTATGTTTTTCTTTAAGCTCTTCAATTTAAACACAAATTAGGTATCACTAGCTCCACTTTGAAGCTTTCCTTGAGAACCTGTAACGGGTGATCTGAAGTATCCTTTCTTTGAATTCTTAGAACAACTAAGAAATAATGTTACAGTTTATTGATTATTTCTTTTTTTTATTTTAAAAGAATTATTTATTGGGGGACCAGCAGTTAGCGTAATGGCTATGTCGCTGGACTCCAATGGACTCCCACGTAGTCGACCGTGGTTTGAATCCCAGACCCGGTAGCTTAAAACTCACGCCGGGTGCGTGTGTGTGCGTTCCCAAGATCCCGAGAGGAGAATGGAGGAGAAGAGATTGCAGCGTGGCCATCCTCCCTGGGGGGTGATTTCTCGCTTTCTGTCTCTCTGTCTAGTGAGCACACGCGCCCTGTAGCAAAAACCTCTTAAAAATTTTTATTTTATTTAACTTTATTTATTTATTTACTTATTTTTTAATTTAATGAGAGAGGGGCAAAGAGAGAAAGAAAGAGAGAGAAAGTGCAAAAGCAAGCTGTCAGGTCTGGGACTTGAACTGTGGTCAGCCACGAAGGAGTCCAACGGCCCTAACCACTACGCCACCTGCTTGTCCCTATCAGTTGTTTTCTATTGAAGAAAAATGAGTTGGGCCTGCAGATGATGTGGAGCTTAAGGCGGTTAGATCCCACATAGCTGACTAGGCAGTTTGAGTCCCGTACCTGGCAGTGTAAAAATCACACCACGTGTGTGTGCGTGTGCCCAAAATCTTAAGAGAAGAATGAAGGAGAAGGGACTGTGATGTGGCCAATCCCCCCTGGGGAGTGATTTCTCTCTCTTTCTCTTTGTTTCTCTCCAGTGAGCAGAGACACCCTATAGCAAACTGGAAAAAAAAAAAGAAAAAGGAAAGTTAATTCCAGTTACTCATATAAATTCCCAACTTTTTTAAAAGAGATTTTTGCTATAGTGTTCATTTGCTTGCCAGAAAGACAGAGAAACAAGGAGACAGGAAGACAGAAAGCAAGAAATCACCACCCAGGGGATGGCCATGTTGCAATCCCTTCTCCATTCTCCTCTCAGGACTCAAACTGTAGGAGTACAGCGCCCTTAACCACTATGCTACTGCCGACCTCATCATTTTTCACTGTACTAAAAACTTTTTTTTTCTTTTTAGCTCTATGTGCTTCCCAGAAATAAAGAGGAACAGGGAGAAACCACCCCAGGGAGGGATGCGCATGCTGTAATCCCTTCTCCTCTCAGGATTTTAGGCACATTGGCATATGTGCTTGGTTTTTCTTTTCTTTTTTTTTTTTAATATAGAGATTTTTGCTATAGGGCATGCACACTTGCTAGAAAGGCAGAGACAGAGGCAGAAAGCAAGAAACCACCTCCTAGAAGGGATGGTCACACTGCAATTCCTTTTCCTCCATTTTCCTCTCGGGATTTTGGACATGCATGTACATGTGTCTGGCATGAGTTTAAGCCGCTGGGTCTGTGACTCGAACCGTGGTCGACTACATGGGAGTCCAGAAACGTAACCATTACACCATCTGCTTGTCCCAGGTTATGGTTTTTGAAAATGAGTTATTTTTAAACATATAAACAAGAGTCAAATGACCAAAACAGTAAAGTTAAATTTCATCTTTGGAATATAATCAATATTCTTAGGACACATCTGAAACCTCAACTTCCCAATACGTAGAATGTTTGCAGGGGTCTGGGCTTCCACCTCAACTACCTTTCTGCTGAGCTATCTACTGATATGTCCTATGCCTACCTGCACATAAAAGACTTCTGCTTGAGGGAAATTTTTGCAGAAATGCTGTAATGCTAACTGGGCACAGAGGTCACTGTACCAAGCGCATTGCACGTGTTAACTAACTTACTCTTCACAGGCATCATCACCTCTACTTCACCCGCAGAAAAGCTGTCACAGGGGCTGTGCAACAATGGCTGACACAGCAGGTAAACGGGGAGCTGAGACACCAACCTTCAGCATCTGTCTCCTCAGTACACTATCTGACACACTTGCGGACAAGAATTTCATGAGTTATTTCACAGATCTGAACAAGAAATGGCAAAAACTCAGCATGCCATTCCCTGTAAAATGTCAAGACTCAACATTTTAGTTTTTAATTATTTCAAAATACCTGAATAAAAACCATAGTTTCCTAAGACAGCACAATAATGAAAACACAAGTATTTCTGGACCAGCTGGCTCCAGGGGCCTGGTCTACCTGGCAGGAATATCCACACAGAGGAAACCATGCACTCCACAACCACAGTTTTACAGAGCAGGCCACTAAGGTTAGCAATTACTGTCCTTGCTTATAATCCAAACTCATGAGCAACACTTTAACAACGAGTGGGCAAAGGCAGGAAACTGGTATTTAGATAACGGGATTAAACGTGTCAACAAAATGGGGTGACAATGGAAGAACACTCAACAGCAAAAAGGAAGTAATGAAATATGCAACAACAATCTATCTAAACGAATCACACTGGGTAAAAGAAGCCAATCATAAAAGGTGTACGTGCACCATGATTCCTTTATGTGAAATTCTAGAAAGGCCAACAGAGCAACATGTGCATGTGGGCTGGGGTTGGTGGGACTGACTGAAAAGAAGTGTGGGAGGGTCCTGGGGTGATGGTTTTGTGTGATGACTAAAGTGGTGGTGCAGGGCACAGACGCTTTCCAAAACTCAATTATACATATTCTTATAGTGCGTGTACTTTAGGACTGATGACTAAAGTGGTGGTGCAGGGCACAGACACTTCCCAAAACTCAATTATACATATTCTTATAGTGTGTGTACTTTAGGACTGGCCCTGGAATGCAGTGGTTAAGTGTATAGAGAGTCGGCTTCCATACGGCTGACTACAGTTCTAATCCCAGCCCTGGAAGCTTGAAAAACATGCTGTGTATGTATGTGCTCTAAATCCTGAGGAAACGGAGAAAGGGAGAAAAGGGACTGTGGTGTAACCACACTCCACTCAAGGAGGGTGATGGTGGTGGTGGTATGTGCACATGTGGGCTCAGTCACCCTCTGGTGAGCATGTGTGCCCTCAGGCAAATCTAAAGTATAATCAAGATGCATTCATCCTATTGCTTAACACTTGCAGTAAAATTCTGGGCATAGACTAAACTCTTGGCTACTGAAAATTTTATTAGCAGTCTTTTATGGTATTTTAACTAATATGAATTAAATTAAAAGTCGACCTATTGCACCAATCAAGGATCATAAAGCTTTGTCTGTTATAGGACAAAGTCCCCCATTCACGGCATGGGCTTGGCCACGCAAAGCCGCTACTATGAAGGCGAGTCAAACTGTTCTTCATTAACCATTCTGCCACCTGCTGGTCCCAGCATTATTCTTAATAGCCAAAAGGTAGAAAAGACCAAATAACCATTGAACGATAAATAGATAAAGTATTGTGTATTCCCACAATGCAATATTACTCAACAATAAAAAGCGACTTGACATCCATCATCAAGATGGCTATAGTGCAACCAGCAGATAGCATAGTGGTTGTGCTGCTGTACTCACTCCCATGTAGTCAACTGTGGTTTGAGGCCTGGACCCGGTGGCTTAATACTCATGTCGGGTGTGTGTGCATGCATGCCCAAAATCCTGAGAGGAGAATGGAAGAGAAGGGATTGCGGTGTGGCCATCCTCTCTGGGAAGTAATTTCTGGCTTTTTGTCTGTTTCTCTGCAAAAATAACAAATGTGGTAAGAATGCTGAGGAACTGGAACCCTTGTGTATTGCTGGCAAGGAATACAAAATGGTGCAGTTGCTGAGGAAAATGGCACACTCAAAAAATTAAACATAGAGGGGGACCAGCAGTTGGTGTAATAGTTATGTCGCTGGACTCCCATGTAGTCGACTGCAGTTCACGTCCCGGAACCAGTGGCTTAAAACTCACGCCAGGCGTGTATGCGTGCGTGCCCAAGATCCCGAGAGGAGAATGGAGAGGGGATTGTGGCGTGACCACCCCCCCACCGGGGGGTGATTTCTGGCTTTCTGTCTCTCTATTTCTCTCTGTCTGGCAAGTGCATGCGCTCCATAGCAAAAACCTAGCCAAAAAAAAAAAAAGACCCAGATACAGGGACCAGCAGTTAGCATAATGGCTATGTTGCTGGACTCCCATGTAGTCGATTGCGGTTCGAGTCTCAGACCCGGTGGCTTAAAACTCACACCAGGCGCATGTGCGTGTGTGCCCAAGATCCCAAGAGGCGACTGGAGGAGAAGGGATTGGAAGGGATTGCGGCGTGGCCATTCCCCCTGGGGAGTGATTTCTCGCTTTCTGTCTCTGTGTCTGTCTGGTGAGCGCGCACGCGCCCTATAGCAAAAACCTCCCCCCGCCTCCCCCAAAAAAAGACCCAGATATGAAGCGATACCACGTTCCTGGAACGTGACAGTACTTGTCACCACTCAGACTGTGCACTTTATTTAGTCAGCACTTTTGCTCATGGCTTTCTTGTATCTCTGCCTAGCAAAATTCTACTTTTCCAATGAAGTCAAATTTAAACTTCTCCATGAAGCTCCGCTGCCTCAGAATTAAGCTACATTTTATGCAGTATCACTGTTCACAATGTATACATTTTTATGGATTCAGGCCCACATTTGTCTAGTTCCTAGTATGTCTTTTTACTAATAGGAACACCACATGCACTTTACAAAGAGTCATGAGTTTCTTCAGGAAAGGATGGCAACTCTCCTCAGATCTTACCCAAGGAAGGACTGAATACATTTTAACTCAGACACATGCGATAGCTGTTATGTACATACACCCCCAGTGGTACGTATGGTGCTATAAACTGCACAAGGATGACCACTGCCTTTAATGTGCAAAAACGGGTTCTATGTGAGTTTAAAAGATAAATAAATGCGAACAAATATTCCTTTTACTATCAGTACTGAAAACTCTTCCCATGAAATGTAAAACAAACAAATGATCCTAACATAGCTATTTTCCTCTGCACTGATGAAGAGATGAGGGGAAATACCCATGTGTGGCACTTGGTTGAGGACAGTCAATGGTACTGGCTGAAGTATTTGAATACCTGGGTGAACCTGAAGTGACGGGAACCCCGCAGATCCAGTGGGAGGAAGGGAAGTAAACATGCAGTGGACTCACTTTAATCCAAAGTATTGCGCTTCAAACCATCCCTAAACTTTCTTTGCTGAACAGCAGTAATTATCTATTTACGATATAACATGACTCATGAACGTTATATTAGCCATCTTCAAAATTCCAGCTAGGAATGTTCAGAAATGTAGCTTAATCTCAGTTAGCTGGTCATAGCCAAAGCCAGTTTTATGAACTGATCTAAACTAGTAAACAGATAATTAACAGAAACATGACTTACCTTCCACAGTGACCTCAATCTCAGGAACCTTGGAATTACTTCCAGGGCTTCGTGGTCTTTTCGGGGACTGCAATGCTGTAAAGCAAGCACACCACAACTTTGTACATTGTAAAAAAGAAAATACAGAAGGGGATGCTTTATAAAAGCAGAGTATTAAAATTCATACAGTTTGGCTCTTTTCAAAGAAACCTGAAGAATTAAACTGGTAGTGTAATCCTCCACATGAGTCTCAACAAAGCTGTGGAAACATGAATGAAGGAGGATTGCAAACATGAAACTGTCAATGAAATGTTTTTAAAAAAAAAAAAGAAAAAAGAAAAAGAAAAAAGAGGTCCATTAAATAAAATACCTTCAGAAGCAAAGAAGCAAACCAAAAGCCCCACAAAGACATTGGCCAATCATTCAGTATGGTTTGCATTAACGTTGATAAGGAATGTCTTAACGCGCTGAAATGAAAGAAAGACCATACACGATCTCTTACCTTTAGTGTTTATTTTACTAGCCATTCCAGGAGGTAAGTAAGAAACAACTAGTTCAGGTCTACAAAGAAAATCAAGAAACGTTACAGTAGCCAGTTTAATGTTGGTCTTCACAGCTTATAAAAATGATCATCACCACTACTTTTTACAAAGGTGTTCGAAGAATCGTCCTGTAATGCAAAAGTTATTTCTCACATCACAGACAAAAACTGCTGATGTTTCCATCCCACGATTACCTGGTAATTAATTTTATGAAAAAGAAATAACCTCTTTCATGGAAAACAAAATTAAAACTTGTTTCTTAAATGACTGAAATTCTGGGGGCCAGCAGGTGGCATGGTGGCTAAGGGTGCTGGACTCCCATATGGCCAACCGTGGTTTGAGTCCGGGACCTGGTGGCTTTGCTTTCTCACCACCCCCTACTCTGTTCCTCTCTTGTTGCATTAAAATAAATGAATAAAGTTGAATAGAATAATTCTTTCAAGGAAGCATTAAAATTTTGCAAAAATGTAAATAAGAAACTCAAACACGGGTATTTATTTACTCACAAGATTGACCAGGAAAAACAGAGCGGATAAAAGTCAGTATTTAAAAAAAAAAAAAAAATTGCCAGAGGGCAAATGTGCTTGCTCGTCAGAGGGAGGGAGGAAGAGAAAACATACTCCAAGGTGTGGTCATGCTACAATCCCTTCTCCTCCATTTCATCATCCTTTAAGGATTGATGATTCGAACCACTGGGTCTGTGATTTGAACCACTAGTCCACAGCTCTCCCAACCATCAGGCCACAGGGCTGGCCCTAAAAAAAATCAGCATTGTCAATTCAATGACCAGTTCAAGTATTCAGGAATATTAAGAGGCATCACGACATCGCTAACCCTACTAAGAGGCAGCTGCAGATGCTGGCTCAGTGGTTGTGTATTATGTGATCACTCTCTGAGGCTGATCCATACAGAAAGGTTCTGAGTTTGTATCCAGAGACTTCCCTGAGCCACCAGGCCATGCGTCCCCACAATGCGGTGCTGGTTAAAGCTGGAGGTGCATCATGGTGTCAAGATCCTGCTGGGGGTAACTGTCTCTCTCTGGCTCATGGAAGAAATAAATAAAACAAACTTGTGGGGATGGGGGATGGCAGAGATCAAAGGCAATCCCACAATAGTAGCTGACAGCAGGCCAGACCAGCCATCTTTAACTGGACAAATAATTTAAATAAAAACATAATTTTATGAGTCAGCCAGTGGTGTGGAGGTTAAGGTGGCTAGATTCCACATGACTGTGAGGTTTGAGTTCAGACCTGGCAGCTTGAGAATCACACTGCGCATGTGTGCGTGTGTGCCCAGAATGCTGAGAGGAGCATGAAGAGAAAGGACTGAGGTGTGGCCATGCCCCCTGGAGGGCGAGTTCTCACTTTCCCTCTCTTTCTGTGTTGAGCTCACATGCCTTATAGCAGACAAACAAAAAAGAACTATAATTTTATTATTTTAATTCTAAAAATGACTATAGGCACAAACAGGACTTACTTTTTAACAACAAACTTGATCTTATTACTTCCACGGACAATCCTTTCAAGTCGTGGAATTCCAAACCACGTGGGGCTTCGGAAAGGAATTCCTTCTGGCAAGCCTTCTACATAAAGGAACTCAGGATTTGATTCGAACACAGGATATGGTACTTTCACCGCCTCCGTGAGTCCAAGAGCTTGAGCTGAAAGTGTAACAGAACACAACTTGTGGAAGATAAATTTTACGTAGATATTGTTTTTGTGTCTGCATTCTTAGATAAGTTACATAAAGTTCCCTATTATCTAATAATGTTCACTTAATACTGAAGGCATTCTGCTTAGTATATTGTGCAAATCTGAAGAACAAGCCTAAAAAATAAGTATTTTTAAAAGGAACATTTGAACACTTTCAGTAAAAAAACAAAAGTTACGTTGTTAGTCAAAATGATCTCTGTTGTCTGGGCAGAAATGAACTAAGGCCATTAAACGCAGCAATGGGACCTACCCAGCCCTTGTGTAAGAACAAGCCTAAAAAATAAGTATTTTTAAAGGAACATTTGAACACTTTCAGTAAAAAAAACAAAAGTTACGTTGTTAGTCAAAATGATCTCTGTTGTCTGGGCAGAAATGAACTAAGGCCATTAAACGCAGCAATGGGACCTACCCAGCCCTTGTGTCGTCATCTAGGTGCAAGTTTGCTACTTAAAGACAGGAGTTGCATATTATGTGTCTAAGTAGAACTCAGTACGTTAGAGTGATCAGAGACAGGAAAGTCAGACTCCTGACATAGGACACAAAATGCCAATACCAGGTATTACAATAATGGATAGAAACGCCCCGGGCATACTGCTATCACTCCCCACTCCTTACTTCCTTTTCCATGACAGATACACCCAATCAACTGAAACACTCTTGCTGAGCCTCCTCAGAATCCTTCTCAAGACAGCGCTCCAGGAAACCGCTGTCAACAAATCTAAGTTGAAACAAATGATGAAACCTATTTGCCATACCGGTGTTAGCCAGATTAGAAGCACAGACAGTGGAACTGAGATTTATCCCAACTCCTCCCTTCCTCTCCCGTTTTTGACATATGAGAAAACTGAATCCAAGAGAAATAAAGTAATTCGCTTGGTTTAGTAAGAAGTTTAGTGGTAGAAATAAACTAAAACCCACTTCAGGGGCCTTTCTTCTTTACATCCTGAACTTCTATCATTCATTTAGAATGTGGCTTTTCATTTATGTTTTAAAATTAAAACATAAGCAATGCATTTTACTTACCAAATTTCAAATTAAAAATCTCTTCCACTTGTTTCCGTAGCTTGGTAATGCGGACATTCCAATCTTCTTTGACTGGAAAAGGAAAATAAATCTAGTTAATAATTTTAGTGACTGGTGCTAACACAAATCAGGCTGCATTTAGGGACCAGAATGTAGATATCCTCCTTTCTAGTCATGCTTAGTTCAGTTTTGATTAAAAAAAAAAATACACACTTTAGATCTTAAAGAAAAGGATGATTTCCTCTACTTGTCAAATATCAGAAGAACTGCAGGAAGACAGAATTTAAAGTTAAGTTTACGGTGTAAGAAAAGCAGAACTGTTCATCTGAAAGAGGGCTTAAAACACGTGGGGTTCACATGCTCCTCCCCAGGGCACGCTGGGAGAGAGGAGCAGTAGCTGCAGACGGCTTCGGGGCTTCCAGACCAGGTACAAGAAAAACGCCAACATTTAAGTGGAAGAAACTAACTGTGGATAATACCCAAAATGCTTGATGTTAATCTGTATGGGCAGAGTATGCTGCAAACTGCGCACAGTACCAGAGTTCACAGTGTCAGTTTCTGTATTAAGTACATCTATTGTGGCTAGGTTTTACTGAAACATTTATGTGCTCGTTTTCATGAAAAACTACTTAAAAGAAAAAAAAAACACACACACTAATTTCCTGGCAACAGCCGACTTCACATTACAGGGCATGGCCATTTACTAGTTTTCCCAATAAAAGTATCTGAAGTGTGAGAAGATGTACAAATTGTGGTCACTTTTCTGACATACAATGGCAAACAAAATGACGGGAAAGAAAGGCTGACATAGAGTTCATATGAAGAAAACGAAAATCATTCATACAATTGATTCTTTTTCAGAATAAATTCCACATGAATAAAGTTAAACTCTAAATGTGTACAGTCGCACATGGTAGCCACTAGCCCTGAACGGCTGAAATGTGGCTAACCGGCACTGAGATGTGCCGTAGTGTAAGATGCACACTGGGCCACTAAATAAAGAATAAAAACGTGAAGTTTGCTTTTAAAAATTTTAAGTTCTAACACACAAGTTTGGCTACTAGAAAACGAACTTGCATTTATGGGGCATACTATACATCAACTGGATAGTACCAGTCTAAATCAAAGCTAAAGAACTGTGTATGGGGGCCAGCAGATGGCACAGCAGTTACATCGCCAGACTCCCACAGAGCTGACCGCAGTTCGAGTCCTGGACCAGTGGCTTCAAACTCATGCAGGGCACATGTACAAGCGTGCCCGAGATCCTACCCAAGATCCTAGGAGGAGAACAGAAGAGAAGGGTTTGTGGTATGGCCATTACTCCTGGAGGTGGGGAGGGAGGCGATTTTTTTGCTTTCTGTCTCTCTCTGCTTAGCAAACACATGGGCCCTATAACAAAAATCTCTCTAAAACATAACAAACAAAACCCTGTGTATATTTACACTGATAAACTAAGAACTGCCTATACTAATCTCCCTCAAAAGATTTTTTTTGGGAAGGGGAGGGGAAGAAGGAGGAGTTTTGTGGGTTTAAAAGATTAAAAAGAATAACACTAAGTGTAAAAACCATTGATTTAAGCCTTTTGAAAGGATTTCACAACTGTCTTACCTGGTGTATTCGTCCTTGGCTGAGTAACTTCAGTTGTACTGTGAGTTAGAAGTTCTGGTCTATAAAAAGATGGTTGATATTAGTAACAGAATATTTAGGAATAACTTAGAGCCCTTCCCAAATAGTGCATACAGCCAATTATTTCTAAAATACGGTCCATTCTGTCTTCTTCGGCAGTGGGAAAAAAATCACTTTGGTGACTAGTTTATTTTGAAGAAAGCCATTTTCACACATTAAGATGGGACCACCTGGATGTGTTCAAAGGAATTTTATTGTCAAGTGTGTAAAAACAATCACTTTTTCCCCAAACAAGCTCAGCTTGTCTTGAAATCTTAGATGAACTATATCACTTGCAGCTAGAAACATTGGGTTGTCAGGGAAATTGTGACCCACTGTTCCACAGAAAAATATAAAAAATACTTCATGACTTTTCTGACTACCTAACCGCTCTGCTGGTGCAAATGTTTCCTGTCCCTTCCTTAACTTGTGGGCCCAATGAATACACAAACCCTCATTCAGTAAGCAAGGGTCTACTTAGGGCTCAACATTCCTCTGTCAGTGTAAATGGTAGGCCTTCTCCTCCTTTCCACACCCAAGTCTCCTTCAAGATCCAGGTAGAATAATCTTTCTAAAATGCAGATTTAAATGGTTTCAAGGTACCTTTGACTTAAAAGCTTTTAATAACTGCCACTACTTTTAGAGGATCAAAGCCTTCCTCTGCTTTGTCTCCAAGTCTACCTATCCTTCTTAAAGTCATGCTGCCCACAAGGCATCGCTCTCCCCATATGGATGGGTTACTTAGGAGTCTGTGAACACTCCTGACACCGTCCTCCCTCCCTCCCTCCAGTATTCTTCCCTTCACTGGAAATACCTCTCCTCTCCTCTGCATGCACCATTGACCAGCAGGGCTGTGCTACCACTGCCTCTCCCCTGGAAATGCTAATAACATCTTACTACATTTATCTCTGTATTAAGTTGTTCAAGGACAGGGCTCCTATTAGGTTCAATTTCGTCGGCACTGAGATGTGCCGTAGTGTAAGATGCACACTGGGCCACTAAATAAAGAATAAAAACGTGAAGTTTGCTTTTAAAAATTTTAAGTTCTAACACACAAGTTTGGCTACTAGAAAACGAACTTGCATTTATGGGGCATACTATACATCAACTGGATAGTACCAGTCTAAATCAAAGCTAAAGAACTGTGTATGGGGGCCAGCAGATGGCACAGCAGTTACATCGCCAGACTCCCACAGAGCTGACCGCAGTTCGAGTCCTGGACCAGTGGCTTCAAACTCATGCAGGGCACATGTACAAGCGTGCCCGAGATCCTACCCAAGATCCTAGGAGGAGAACAGAAGAGAAGGGTTTGTGGTATGGCCATTACTCCTGGGGGTGGGGAGGGAGGCGATTTTTTTGCTTTCTGTCTCTCTCTGCTTAGCAAACACATGGGCCCTATAACAAAAATCTCTCTAAAACATAACAAACAAAACCCTGTGTATATTTACACTGATAAACTAAGAACTGCCTATACTAATCTCCCTCAAAAGATTTTTTTTGGGAAGGGGAGGGGAAGAAGGAGGAGTTTTGTGGGTTTAAAAGATTAAAAAGAATAACACTAAGTGTAAAAACCATTGATTTAAGCCTTTTGAAAGGATTTCACAACTGTCTTACCTGGTGTATTCGTCCTTGGCTGAGTAACTTCAGTTGTACTGTGAGTTAGAAGTTCTGGTCTATAAAAAGATGGTTGATATTAGTAACAGAATATTTAGGAATAACTTAAAGCCCTTCCCAAATAGTGCATACAGCCAATTATTTCTAAAATATGGTCCATTCTGTCTTCTTCGGCAGTGGGAAAAAAATCACTTTGGTGACTAGTTTATTTTGAAGAAAGCCATTTTCACACATTAAGATGGGACCACCTGGATGTGTTCAAAGGAATTTTATTGTCAAGTGTGTAAAAACAATCACTTTTTCCCCAAACAAGCTCAGCTTGTCTTGAAATCTTAGATGAACTATATCACTTGCAGCTAGAAACATTGGGTTGTCAGGGAAATTGTGACCCACTGTTCCACAGAAAAATATAAAAAATACTTCATGACTTTTCTGACTACCTAACCGCTCTGCTGGTGCAAATGTTTCCTGTCCCTTCCTTAACTTGTGGGCCCAATGAATACACAAACCCTCATTCAGTAAGCAAGGGTCTACTTAGGGCTCAACATTCCTCTGTCAGTGTAAATGGTAGGCCTTCTCCTCCTTTCCACACCCAAGTCTCCTTCAAGATCCAGGTAGAATAATCTTTCTAAAATGCAGATTTAAATGGTTTCAAGGTACCTTTGACTTAAAAGCTTTTAATAACTGCCACTACTTTTAGAGGATCAAAGCCTTCCTCTGCTTTGTCTCCAAGTCTACCTATCCTTCTTAAAGTCATGCTGCCCACAAGGCATCGCTCTCCCCATATGGATGGGTTACTTAGGAGTCTGTGAACACTCCTGACACCGTCCTCCCTCCCTCCAGTATTCTTCCCTTCACTGGAAATACCTCTCCTCTCCTCTGCATGCACCATTGACCAGCAGGGCTGTGCTACCACTGCCTCTCCCCTGGAAATGCTAATAACATCTTACTACATTTATCTCTGTATTAAGTTGTTCAAGGACAGGGCTCCTATTAGGTTCAATTTCGTACATCTGATGCTTGTATAAAATAAATATTTGCTCAATAAATGAGCATAAATGTGAGGTCTTAGTCTTAAATATGGAGAGGAAGTCCTACCAAGAAGGAAACAAAAGTCTAGCTTTACCCAGTTCATCTGTTCTCAGGAACACATTAAATTTGCTTCTGCAGTTTCTGATCTTACCTTTTAATAACAAACTTAATCCGATTGCCCACTTGAATGATTTTTTCCAGCCTTGGGATGCCATACCACGAGGGACTTCTAAAAGGAATGTTTTCTGGTAGTCCTTCCACGTAGAGATCATTAGGATGTGCTTCAAATTTTTGGTATGGTACGGCCTTGGCTTCAGTGCTCCCTAAGGCTTCCGCTGAACAACGAAAATCAGAACATTCAGGAGACTTTGGGTTTATAATCCTATTTTAGTACAATCCAAAGCAAGGCACATGCCAATTTAAAAAACAAAACAGAACAGAGGGCAGGTCCCATGATCTAGTGATTAGGGGAACCAGATTCTAGATGACCAAGCACACAGTTCAAATCTTGCTCCTACTGCCTTAGAAAACACACAGGGCACATGTGCAAGTGGGGCCAGAATCCCAACAGGACAGAGACGTGGAGAAGTGTGTGACTAGGCTCCACTCGGGGATGCTTTCTCTCGTGGTTCCTTTCTCTCTGGCAAAAACACATATGCTTTGGCTAAAAAAAAAAAGAAAAGAAAAAACCCCAAATGTTTTGGCTAAAAAAAAAAAAAAAAGAAAATCCTCTGGAAACACACTCTTAAAGACTCAATACAGTGGGACCAGCAACTGGCGTAATGGCTATGTTGCTGGACTCCCGTGGAGTCAACTGCAGTCCAAGTCCCAGACTCAGTGGCTTAAACTCACACCAGGTGCGTATGTATGTGTGCGTGCCCAAGATCCCAGGAGGAGAATGGAGGAGAAAGGACGGCGGTGTGGCCATCCCCCCTGGGGAGTGATTTGATAAAGATCAGAAAAGAAACATGCCAATAAACATAACAGTTAAGGGTTAGAGGGTTTGAGAATCACATCTGGGAGTGTTATTAACTATTATTATTGTGCATTTTTAAATAGAATGAAAAATACATAAACCTAATTCTAACAAATGTTCTATAAAATAAAAAAGAACCTATCACTAGAGTTGGGATGGGAAGAGCAGAAGCTGTAGCAAAAGGCAAAGGCCAACTGCAGGACGTGTTTTCCATATTATCAAAGAGGCCTTCCCAATAACAATCCCTGCCACCTTATTCCCCTCATTCTCCCTAATTCTTCCCCAGACCCCTTACCCCTTTCTTATACTAACATTAAGTGTTCCCTGCTTATCTACGACTTGAACAAATGCTCCAGAATGAACAGGGGCAGGGGCAGGGGACTGCTCTGGCTGTTTCTGCCTCTCACCCTGAGGTGGAAGGAGTTCACAGGTGCCAGTAAATTGGCAAGTGGTGTGGAGGTTAAGGCAGCCGGATCACACACGGCCAACTAGGTAGTTTGAGTTCCAGACCCAGGAACTTGAAAATCAAGCTGGGTTCGTGTATGTAGGTAACCAAACTTCTGAGAGAATGGTGGAGTGGGGGTTGAGGCAAGGCCATCGCTTGGAGGTGAGTTTTCACTTTTTCTCTTTGGTGAGTGCATGCGCCCTACAGTAAAAGAAAAAAACAATCCTAAAAAACAGAAAAAGATTGTGCAGGGGCTGGCAGATGATGGGGTAGTTAAGGACATTGGACTCACACATGGCCAAGCATGGTTTGAGTCTCAGACTCAGTGGCTTGCTTTCTTATTTTCCCTCTCTCTCTCTCTTACTCTGCTCCTCTCTGATCAAATTAAAGTAAGTAAACAAAGCTAAATAAAATATTTTTTAAAAAAAGAATTGTGCACTCGGAATTAGTGAGTTCTTTCTCAATACTTGGAGTGGTTAATAGCTACAGAGAATCTAAGTTTCCTTTTTTCCCCTAACAGAACCTTAAAAAAAAATCAGTAATACTGCTGGCTACTAGTTCTCTAAAGCAGCAACATTTCTAGACCCACCTAAATCTGTGAACACTAATGAAATGAGCTATACTGGGGACAGCAGGTGGCATAGTGGTTAAGCTGCTGGACTCCCAAGTGGCTGACTGTGGTTCGAGTGCTGGACCCAGCGGCTTGACATGCACATTGGGTGCATGTATGTGTGTGCCCAAAATTCCGAGAAGAGAATGGAGAAGAAGGACTGCGGTGTGGCCATCCCCCTCGGGGGTGAATACTTGCTTTCTGTTTCTCTGTCTTTCTGGAGGGCACATGTACCCTACAGCAAAAATCTAAGAAAAGTCGAAAACATAAAAAAGTTACACTAAACTTTTAATAATAAATATTTATTTAAAAATGGAACACTGAAGGGACCAGCAGTTAGTGTAATGGCTATGTCTCTGGACTCCCACGTAGTCGACTGCGGTTCGAATCCCAGACCTTGTGGCTTTAACTCACGCCGGGCACGTGTGCGTGCGTGCCCAGGATCCCGAGAGGAGAATGAAGGAGAAGGGATTGTGGCATGGCCATCCCCCCTGGGGGGTGATTTATCGCTTTCTGTCTCTCTGTCTCTCTCTGTCTGTCTGGCGAGCACACGCGCCCTATAGTAAAAAACTCTCAAAAAAAAAAAAAAAGGAACACTGAAGGTGATATATATCACATTTTCTTTCCTCAAACAAAATGATAATTTAAAAAACATTATTCTGGGGGCCAGCAAGTAGTAGCATGGTGGGTAAGGTGCTGGATTCCCACATAGCTAACTGCAGTTCATGTTCCAGACCCGGTGGCTTGAAAATCACAACAAATAGACAAATAAATGTTAAAAAACAAAACGAAACTAAAAAAACCCACATTATTCTATAATATACCTTAGTTGGAGGAGTGGGGAACTACTTACCAAACTTTTTGCAGAAAAGCTGATCTACCATCTTTCTTAATTTAGTGATCCTGGCATACCATTCTTCCTTTACTGTAAGAATAACAAATGTACAGATTTCTCAATTTGATGGCCTTAGCAACTTAGGTTATTAAATATTATTAGTATAAAATTAGCAGGATTTTTCCTTTTATGAGTCTAAAATTTTTCTAAGGTTAAAGAATGTATTACTAAAACACTGTCAACACTGAACTATAAGAGTACAAGGCAAACAAAGTTAACTAAAGCTAAAAAATAGCAGAACTCAGTTTACTCAAGAACAGTTACCAGATTTTTATGCTGCATTCAGGACTATGATAGTTCTGGCAAACTTTCCATTGTACCATATTTAAATGCTGTGGCTTACACTTTGTTGTTTGCTTGCTCCACTCCACTCCAGAGAAAAAGCGAGCAAGAAAATAATTATGTTTATATTTCCTTCAATGCACAACTAACAAGCAAATGATGGTGATTGCTATGACTGCATACTCTAAGAAGTAAATCTCTTTGTCCTGAGTGTAATGTACATTTGATAGATGATCATTCAATTGACTAACGTGGATTTAGATAATAAACTCTTCACTGCAAGATGCCAAAGAACGAGACCTGCATCTTTAAAATAGAACAGGCATGGTTGTTTAGTCCTGTCTGCACATATGCACACATAAAATATATTTGTAGTAATATATATTAATCAATATAATATTATTAATAATTAATATGAATAATTTTTGTATGGAATATTAGAATTCAAACAATGAATTTCCTATAATGGCATGTAATAAAGATATACATTGAATTTCCTATGGAAGGTAACACAAACAAATCAATGTCCCATTAAATGGAAAATAAATACTGTACACATAATGTTCTCGTTTGACACAAGAAGGGAGACCCACCTCCTGAAGCTGGCTTATCAAGCTGTAAATCTTCACGAGTTGAATTTAAAAGTTCATGTCTAAAAGGTAAGAATAAGTACTAAGTATTCACTAGGTAATATTTAGCAAAGTAGTAACTGCTAGAACATACATAATATTCAGTCACCAAGGTCTATTTTAAAAAGGAAAGACAGGGCTAGTGAGTGGTGTAGTGGTTAAGGTTCTTGACTCCCACAGGCCATCAGTGGTTCAAGTCCTGGACCCAAGTGGTTTGAAAATCACACCAGACGTGTGCATGCGTGCACAAGATCCCAAGAAGAGAATGGAGAAGGGGCTGTGGCATGGCCATCTCCCCAGGGAGTGATTTCTCACTTTCCCTCTCTCTGTCTCTCCCTGTCTCTCTGCAGCAAGTGCACACACTCTAAGGCAAAAAACCTAGGGGGGAAAAAGAACAATGTGAATACTTGAGCACAAGAAATCTTAATTTCTTAAGGTTTCTGCAGAGTAATGTGACAAAATCATTTTATTTTTTTTAGTTTTGCTATAGGGTGCATGTGCTTGCCAGAAAGAGTAAGAGAGAGAAGGAGAGAAAGTGAGAAGTCACTCCCCAGGGGGATGGCCACACAGCAGTCCCTTTTCCTCTATTCTCCTCTTGGCATTTTGGGCATGTTCATACACAGGCCCAGGGTGACTTTTAAGCCTCCAGGTCTGGGACTCAAACTGCACAACTGGCCATTGTCAACTACCTTCTGGCCTCCAAAATAATTGCAGATGATCTTATACAGTACTTCATAAAGCACATGTCCTCACAGTAAGAGGTAACGGCAACTTCCTAGTAATTTAAGTGTCTTACAGAAATTTTAAATGGACTCCTTAAAATTACATTCAAGAGGACCTTCCTCTACGTATCTAGCAACTGATGTAAAAATTATAGAAATATTGGGACCAGCAGTTGGAGTAATGGCTATGTCGCTGTACTCCCATGAGTCCCGGTGGCTTAAACACAGGCCGGGCGCATGTACGTGCGTGCCCAAGATTCCTAGAGGAGAATGGAAGAGAAAGGATTGCAGCATGGCCATCACCCCTGGGGGGTGATTTCTCGTTTTCTGTCTCTCTGTCTTTCTGGCGAGCGCGTGTGACCTATAGCAAAAACCTCTCCAAAACAAACAAACAAAAAATTATAGAAATATTATTTGTAAGACAAGATGTTTTATTTTTCATAATGACCAAACAGTCCATAAAACATAATTAATAAATCACAGAATTTTTCATAACCCAGCTTATGTATCTCATATCATTCTCTTCTCCTGTAATATTCCAACTTTCACAGGAGACTGCCATGAGACCGAGTCCTGTGGGCGATCTCTCAGTAAGCTGAACTGAATTAAAGGATGTCTAAGAGTGTCTGTAAGAGTGTTACCTGGGGGTCAGCAGATGGCGTAATGGTTATGTCACTGGACTCCCACATGGCCAACCGCAGTTTAAGTCCTGGACCCAGCAACTTGAAACTCACACTGGGCACATGTGCGTGGGTGCCCAAAATCCTGAGAGAAGAATGGCGGAGAAGGGACTGTGGTGCGGCTATTCCCCCTGGGGGGTGATTTCTCTCTCTCTGGCAAGCACATGAACCCTAAAATAAATAAAATAAATTCGAGGGTCAGCCTTATAGTACAGTGGTTCAGCACTGTGCAGAAGCCAAAGTAGGTGGTTTGGAGTTCTGGTCTCCACAGCTTGAAAAACATGCAGGGTGCATGTCACAAACATGCCCAGGATCCGGACAGAATGAAGAATGGAAGGAAAAAGGACTGCGGCATGACTAGGCCCCACTGGGGGCACTTTCTCTCTCTGCTGTAAATATATACACTCTCTCTGGCATTAAATAAATAAATGAATGTTTTAAAACAAATTTTAAAATATACAATTTAATGACAGTATAAAACCTTTTTTAATGTTTTGCCAGAGGGCATGTTTGGTTGCCAGAGTGAGTGAGAAAGCACTCCTATGAGGAATAATCACACTGGAATCCCTTCTCCATTTCTCCCCTCCTTTTGAAATTTTGGGTACACATGCACACACGCCCAGTGTTTTTCAGGCCACTGGAACCAGGATTTGAACTCTGTAGTTGGCCATGTGTGATCCAGCTACCTTAACCACTAAGCCCCTGGTTCTTAAAATAATACACTTTTTTGCTTACTGTTCAATTTTCTCTTAGTCTTTAAACAATGTGTAAGAAAAACATGTTAGCAACAACTTGTTCTGGGAGACAGCTTATCTATTATAATGAGGTATGTCATGGCTCTTTTCATTTTTAGTTAAACACTTCTGACATGCTTTTATTTAATATTGACAAAGGCATATTGGCTTGGTTCTAACACTTGTCAAGATGCCGTTAATTTTTCCATTTCCTCAATGATACCAGTGTGTTAATGGAGTGAAGTTAAACACTTTTGAAAGTAAAAAGAATATTATCCTACTACTCAGTTCACTGTTTATTACCTCAAGGATAACGTCAGTAAACTTTAAAAAAATCTGACATACTATGCACATGATTCAAGAAAAGACTTGGTCATTGTAGAGGGACTTAAAAAATGTATTTCAGAAATGAATTCATTTCCACTCCCTGGGGATGAATTCTGTTTGGTCTAAACCTACCACGCTGGTACTTTTCCCTTGCTGGGACTTGATTTAGGAGTAAGCTCGCAATGTGATTCTTAATTAAAGAGAAGTGTGACTACACTAAGGTTTTCCCTGCTCTGAGATAGATAGGTCGCTTCCAGTGAGGCTTGGGACGGCTGCATCCAGTTCGCCACCAGTGTAAGGGAGCAATCAGCAGAGGGGTGGAAGAACCTGGAGAGAGCAGAAGCAGAGCCCCAGGCACCAGTTATCAGCAGGTCCTCTCCGATGTCCTGCTGTCTAAGTCCAGGCCAGCAAGGGGCCGATCTGAGTAAGTATCTGTTCAGGGCTGGAGACATTTCAACTGCTACCCACCCAATTCCAGGTCAGAAAACATCTCTGTTTGCTTTTACACATGATTACCAAGTTTGGGTACAGAATCTGAGATTTAAATAATTATCGTTTACAACTTGGAAAGAAACAGATGAAGAGTATTCACCACCTGCTATTACTCAAAGAGAGGTATCATCAGTGTGATTTCTGCTCTTTATGGATGACCTGGAGCCTAATGATACATTCGTCTAAAACATAATTATTTTTCCCTTCACGTTCCGGGTACAAAGTGTGACTAGGTGTGTCTCTCCTTTCCTCTCATTTAGAGCAGCACAGTCAAAGGATAAGTCTTCTTTTCAGAACTGAAAAATAATGATTAAATCCACTTGACTGATAATCTTCTTGCCTTTCATTAAAGAATTTAGTTTGGTAAACGTATTTTCTAATTTCCTAGGTAACCATGATCAAATTATTACCTTTTATAAACATACCTAGTACTTGTTTTATGGCTCTAATAAGTTAGCCAATATGTACACTTGTTGAAATCTGCTGATAAATGTCTTCCTAGTATTTTTAACTTTTTAAAAAAAAAAAATTAACACAGTTTTAGAAAAACTATGACAATGCATGCTGTGGTTGCTATTTTGATATGGAAACGTTTTTTTTTTAAATAATTATCTATTTTAATTTTATTTATTCAATCATTTTAGTTTAATTTACCAGAGAGAGAGAGAGAAAGAGAGAAAGAAAGAGATAAAGTGAGAAAGAAAGGTCCAGGACTCAAACCATGGTCAGCCACGTGGGAGTGTCCAGCGCCTTAACCACCACATCACCTACTGGTCCCCAACATGGAAACATTTTTAAGTCCAACTCTAATGGCAGCATTTCCTTAAAGTAAACACGCACACGCTCAGCTGTAGCAGTACAGGCAGCAGGGCAGTGCTGCTTGCTGCTGGAGCCAGATAGGAGACCCCAGGCTCCTTCCTTTTTTGTTGTTGAGAGACACAATTTTGCTAGAGGGTGCATGTACCCCCTGGAGAGACAGAGATAAAGAGACAGAAAGTGAGAAATCACCCCCAGAGGGGAGGGCCACAACACAATCCCTTCTCCTTCACTCTTTTTTCAGGATCTTGGGCACGCACACACATGTGCCCAGGTTAAGCTGCTGGGTCTAGGACTCGAACCACTGTTGACTACATTTGAGTCCAGCAACGTAACCATTACGCCATCTGCTTGGCCTGAGGCCCAGGTTCTGATCCTGAGTCTCCCTGAATAGGCCAGGCACACCCGTGTGCACTCATGACACGGGCTGGCTAAGAGAACGGGTGAAGAGGGTCATGGCATGGTAGAACCATGTTGAGGGTGCCCATGTGTGTATGTTTCTTAACTCTCGAAAACAAAAATATCAATTTTATAAAACAAAAACAGGGCTGGTGGTATGGTGGTTAAGGTGGCTGGATCCCACATGGCTGACTGTGTGCTTTGAATCCTGGACTCACTGGCCTGAAAAAACACACTAGGTACACATGCCCCCAATTTTTTTTTTTTTTGGGGGGGATTTTCCTTAT